GTTCAGATTATTTGAGTAAAATCGAGAGACAAACATTGTTAATAAGAAACAATACAAATGACATTACAGCCATCATCATGAGCAATAGCAAAGTTCAAAACCATGGTATTGTCAATACAAAACACAGTAATATCGATTAAATATCCCGAAAAAAGTCAAATTTCGCCAGGAAATTTTGAAAACATCGCCGAAGTCGTTTTCGAAAAATGGCCAATTTATGCCAATTTTTTCGGTTTTCCGCCCATAAGACTATGTCAAATCAATTTTTCAAATCCAATAGGTGCCGTTTGATAGCCGGCCTCAAGATCTTCTCAACAATACCCAAAAGTCTGGGATCGGTTAAGTGGTTTGATCACAGTAGCCTTAGGAAAGAAGGTCATTTTTTGAACGTTCGAAGGCCGGCTAAAGCCAAGATAGTGGCTAAATAAAAAAATGCCGGAAAAAAAATATCTTACCAGTAAAGGTATTTTGAAAAAAAAAAAATCGCAAAATTCTGATTGGATTCGTTAAAGGGGTCGAAATGAAGACGATTGGTCCCAATGGTATCGTTGCGAAATTTTTTGTTGCCTCCCTACAGCCCTATGTAGCTCCAAGCCTCCCATCTAAGAAAAAAGCGTCTTGCCGATACATTTTTGCTTGTATCTCGTGAACGGTTCGAGACTTTGCTTTACTGTTTTGAGCAAAGTTGAAGGTTTTGATAAGACAAACAATTTTGCTGAACACGTCAACCCCCCAGAACCCCCCTTCAGGGTTAAAAATCCCCAAAGTTGAAAAAAGTTGATTTTTTTTTCAATTTCGTTTTGCTGAAAACAGTCTCGATCCGTTCACGAGATACAAGCAAAAATGTATCGATAAGACGCTATTTTCATATTGGAGCTACATAGGGCTGTAGGGAGGCAACAAAAAATTTCGCAACGATACCATTGGGACCAATCGTCTTCATTTCGACCCCTTTAACGAATCCAGTCAGAATTTTGCGATTTTTTTTTCAAAATGAGGGACCTTTACTGGTTAGTTTTTGATGTACTTTAATTTCTGAAAGTTTGAACAAAATCGGTACGTACGCGTACATAAACACAAACAAAACTATTATCTCTGAATAATTGGTGGAGTTTCAAGATGGCCCGTCCATTCAAGATGGCATTCAACATCCGTTAAATTGGAAAAACTGAGAATTGCTCCAAATTTTCAAGTGGCTATTTCCATGAATACTGTTGGTCATTCATACCAGGGTCAAGTCCCAAAACTTTGCTGAACACACTAACTCAATATCTCTTATCATCGCATGTTTATGAACATTACTCATGCAGGAGTTATTTAGCATTTACACGTGCTTTTTGTTAACAATGTTATTTTTTAGCTCATTTATCGAAGAGGTTATAAAAACTTTGGCTGATTTCATAACATTAAACAATGTGGTCGATGTGATTTTTTTATTTACCTGTAGCAGCGTAAGTAGAAATTCATCTGCAGCATATGCGGGTTTATGTAATGGTCGCATAAAATTCGTAATATTTTTTTTTTAATTTCTGTTGCCCTTTAAATAATAATTAATTTATAATTGAGCATTTAAATAATAGCGTCTGAAACACCAGACTGGAGAACAATCGGAGCCTTGATTTAAATAAATTAAAATCTTACCAATTGCCCGTTCATTTTCCAATTGCTACTTAAATGCCTTGCTTATCTTTGATGTGCAAAAAGACAAACAGTGCAGCGAATATTATGTGATTACAATTCCTGTGTAGTCTGATAAATGTAGCATGTCGTGTTTTTTTTTCATTACATATTTTCGGTGGATTCCTAACTTAATTGTATTTTTCTGCCCGTGCACATCACAGAAAGTTGCAAACAGGTGATTGCGTATACATCATCAGCGTACAAAATCGGTCAGTTAAAAGTGATTTTACATGCCTTTTTACATATGAAAGTTGTGCACATAAGGAGCAGGTCAATAATAAATACGTTCGATTTGGAACTAATATATACTTTGGTGAATGATTTGTGTATTTGCAATACTTTGGTTTCGACCTTTGATAGGATCTGTAATTCCACACACCAAAATATGGAATATGTAAACTAGTAGCCGATGACACTTATACGCGAGTTGATTTACATCTAGCAATAAACGAACGAAAAATGTTACTACTTTCTAGTTACAATAGTCACTAAACGAGCGTCAGATGTCACTTGTTTAGCGGTTTATTTACATCATACACTAATTTTAAAATGACAGATTTAGGTGTGTATGCTTTACATTTTAATATCAAATTTATCTTTGATATATGTCGTTTATATAATTATTATTATTTATTTATTGGCAAATGTAAAAAATCACATATACGTCCTTACATACTAGATACATAATTTTTTCTAAATAGATTATATGTAAAAAAATAACAAAAAAATAACATTAATTCATATTTTGGTTTCTTTGGTTTCTTATTATCAATTGGTAATATTTGTTCGTTAAAAAGTATGCTTTTAATTTTCTTTTTAATTGTATTTACAATTTTTTTATTGGTGAAGAAATATTATTAAAAGAGCTAATACCTCAATACCTCTATTTATAGAAGAATGTTTACTCCATTTATTATTTGACTTAATTTTATGCATTTTTTTAGTTTGAATCGTTTGATTTTCATGGATATTATTTTTGAATTCAATATGAATATGAATATGAATATCACATTTCAAATTTTTGTTTATGATTTTATATGCCATAAGTTTGGATACCCCTATGAAATATATTGTTTCTACGTTTTTTGAACATTTTCAGTTGAAATTTAGTATTGCATATGAAAATATATCGAAATTCTGACCGAATGGATGATTTGGAAGATAACATTTGGCCGGCCTATGGCCATCTTTTGGCCTTTGAGCTGTGGGAGCCAAAATCGAAGTCTTAAACGGGCCATCGGATTAAAAAGTTATATACGCCATAACGGCCATATCTTGGCCAAACGCCGGCCGATTTTAATGTTTAATACCACAAATCACATCTACTTTTCAAGACCTTTCCAATGGCGTATATAACTTTTTCATCCGATGGCCCGTTTAAGACTTCGATTTTGGCTCCCACAGCTCAAAGGCCAAAAGATGGCCATAGGCCGGCCAAATGTTATCTTCCAAATCATCCATTCGGTCAGAATTTCGATATATTTTCATATGCAATACTAAATTTCAACTGAAAATGTTCAAAAAACGTAGAAACAATATATTTCATAGGGGTATCCAAACTTATGGCCTGTGGTGTAAATTAGTGTTCATTTCTAAATCTTTCACTTTTTCAAATTGTAAAATATTGTGTTCTTTGAACAAGTCTTCGGTAGATATATTTCCTACTCTATATTTATTATAAAAAAGATTTCTTAGGTACTTGATTTGCAAAATTTTAATTTTTTTTAAATATTTTCTTTCTTTGTGCCACTCCATAAAGTTAGTAGATATATAAGATGTTGTTCATTACGAAGTAATTGTTGTTTTTGAGTGTATCGATATAGTTTTGTACTGCAGTGTCATTTGATTTTGAAAGATCAAAATTAGCATCACCAAAACAAATGAGAATATCAGTTTTGTCTAATATGTTTTCTAGAATCTCAATGAAATGTTCTGCATTAGTGACAGGAGAACGAAAAAAAATAGCTATTTTGATTTTTTGCTCTGTAAGATTAAACATAATCAAATGACTTTTATGGAATTGCTCGTTCTTTATAACATTGAATTTAATATTTTCATTTATAAAAATGATAATACCACCACCACGATTAGCTACAGTTACTCAAAGTTGTATAGTTTTTCAAATTAAAAAACTTCACTTCTTTTTCTTTCAACCATGACTCAGTGATGATGATGATGTGTGATTTTTCTCTAAGATTTTCAATAAAATTTTCCAATTCATTCAATTTCTTTTTAATGGATCTGATATTCAGAAGCAAGATAATCAATTATTGATAATTAAATGCAGTTGTGACGCCATTTGTATTGTTCCTTATCAATAAGGTGCATCTCTCGCCTTTTAATGATCGCGAATTGATTTCTTGACTATTCTCTTTTTTTTTAAATGATATTTTGTTGTTAGTTTTTCACTGTTTGTGTGGAAAAAACAATACGGCTATCTTTTGTTCTGTTTTAAGTAAATAAATAATTTTAAAAAACTACGAAAATGAATTTAAAGTTTAAATTTACATGCACACTTTTTTAATATTATGCTGATTAAAACCTTAGCACGTTATTCAATATAATTTAATACATACGACCGTGGTTTAATTATACAAAACCGCACCGTGGCCGGTGTTTCACATACAAATCAATTATTTTTATTACCGAATCTGATCATTGCACCGGTTTCATGAATATAACATTTGTTTTCATATTTATTTCTGTAAGTTTTTTTCTAGTTTTAATTATTGAATAAGATTGCGTGCTTTTTTGTTCTAAACATTCAGTGAGTCGCTTACCAGGTTAGTTTTTTGCCTGATTTTTGAGCATATGCATACTTTTCGATCCACTTTTAAACATTTTTCATCGTATTTCTTTTTGTGCAACTGTAATTGATTAAGGTTGGAAGCAGACGCTGAAAAAATATATCGATACTTTTGTTTCCAACGCTTAAAATGATTGAATTGGCTTCAAGCATTACATACTTTCAATTATTTTCAATAAATGACAGCTTGATAATCATTAATTAATGAATAATGATGGCGAAACATCGGGTCGCTGAAAAATAAATTGAATGAAGGAAAATTTCAAAGCAAATGATTAAATATCGTCCGTTTAATAAATTCAATATATTTGAAAAATTATGCTATACGCGGTAGAAATCTAGAATGAAAACGAAGATAACGCCGACTGCATTTAAAAGCTGATGAACTGAGTGACATAGTCACTTGCATTTTTACACGAACAAATTCTGTCGAAAATACATGGTTAAAATTGACTTACATTTCCGATTTCAAAGTTTTGCCGCAAATATGAAGTGTCATTAGGTGCGGTTTACATACGAACTCAAAACAGATGTTTTGACATTTGACTCTGCTCAAAATGACATTGTAAATCAAATAAAAAAGTCTTCTCAGCTATTTGCATTCTTGGTTGTGTAAAAATGGCATCAAAATTGTTGAGAATATCAAAAAAATTCACGACCATTTCTCAAGTAAGTAAATCAGCCTACTATAACTTCCTCTCAACAAGAAATCATTCCAATGATTTGTGGTGGAAGCACAAAAATGAAGATATGAAAGTTGTAGAAATGGCGAGTAGAATAGTACATTGTTATGTAATAGTTTCACGCCGTCAAACTGGTGTATTTGCAAAAATTTCATTCGATATTCATTTGATATAAAGTATTTTTTTCAATGATAATTCATTTCATTTGAAACTAGCGCCTGAAGAGTTCACATAGTGGCGATTTCCAAGCAGCATTAGCGAGCTTAAATATACCAACTGAATTGACTGTAGCCAACAACAACTTGAGAGTTGCATCACAATCAACAGATTCGGATACAACCACTGTTGGTTTGTTCATTGACGTTGGTGCGCGTTACGAGGAAGCAAATAACAATGGTGCTGGTAACTTAGTTCAACGCTTGCTTTTCAAAGGCACCACGAAACGCGCTCAAGCCGATTTGGAATCCGACATCTCCAGTTTGGGGGCACGTTTGTTCTCGACCACATCACGTGAACGAAGTGCAATCTATGCAACGTGTTTGACAAAGGATGTTCCAAAGATCGTTGAAATTTTGTCGGATGCTATTCAAAATCCGAAATTGAGCAGCGAAGATCTAGCCAAGGTGCGTAGTGAAATTTTACGTGAAGCTGACGAAGTGGAAAGCAATGTCCAAGATGTTGTCTTTGATTACCTTCATGCCACCGCATACCAAGGCAGCCCATTGGGCCAAACCGTCTTGGGCCCCCGAGAAAATATCCAATCACTTACGCCAAATGATTTGAAATATTATATCGATACGCATTTCAAAGCATCACGTATTGTTTTGGCTGCTGCAGGAGGTGTGAAACACAATGAAATTGTACAATTGGCACAACAACACCTGTCAAAATTGGAAAATAGCTTTGATGGTGAACCACCGGTTTTGTCAAGATGCCGTTATACTGGATCGGAAGTTCGTCTTCGTGATGACTCACTTCCATATGCCTATATTGCATTGGCCGTTGAAGGACCAGGATGGAACAGTCCGGACAGAATTCCATTGCTTGTTGCCACCAGCGCAATTGGTGCATACGACCGTTCCCAGGGCAAGCTTGGAGAAAATTCAACATACGGTTAGTTAATCCTCGAAAAAGAAATTTGATCACAAATAGACTGAAAAACCCCGTTTATTTCCTAGAAATTTGTCACAACTACCAAGGCTTCAACGTAACATATAGCGACACCGGACTGTTTGGCGTGTATTCAGTCTGCGAACCATTGCAATGTGATGACATCTCAAAGGCTGTTTTGGAAGCATGGCATCGTGTCAGCTACAGCATCACTGATGCCGAACTTGACGAAGCCAAAAACCGCTTGATCACGCAATTGTTGAACCAACAAAGCAGTAAGCAAACATTTATTAAATAATCTAATTCCAAATATAATTACAATTGTTACTTCTATATACAGCTACAAAGGGAAATTGCGAGGATATCGGAAACTCTATTTTGTCATTCGGTCGTCGTGTACCATTGAATGAATTGGCAGCATCTATTGAAAATGTATCAAACCAAACTGTGCGTGATGTAACCGATAAATACACAAACAATAAATGTCCAGTTATTTCCGCGGTTGGACCAGTAGAAAATCTGACTGACTATATTAACATCCGTACAAGAATGTACTGGGCTCGTGTATAAAACCATGTCAATGTGTAAATATAAATAGTCTATGTGTTTGTTAATAGACAACCAATTTTAAACGAACATCTATGCCAAATAAAAGAAAACAATTTAAAATTAAATTGGATTTGGAATTAATTGGAATTTTTGGTTTTACACATTCATTTAAGCTGATAACGCGATAGGGAGATTGTATGAAATACATGCGAGCCGATACCGACATTTTTGAAGAATGAACGCACTCATGTGTGCACGTCATGATGTCCAATACATTTTTTGACAGTTCTGTATTGCATGGAAAAATTAATAAGTTGACAGATACAATTTCAATTGAGGTTGGGAGATTACGAATAAGAAATACATTCCCTTTTGGCAAAAAATGGCATCGCGACTCCTAAGATTGTCGACTCCTAGCTTTCGAGCACTGTCTCTGGTACATTTTGTCACATTGCTTTTACATATTTTAGCCGTACAAAAATAAACTTTTAAGTGAAAATTCATTGATTTTCTGTGTCTTCTCAAGTGAAAAAAAAACTGAAAATGGCGGACATCTTCACGGCACATACTATTATATAATTGTTGCCTGTGTTCGACCATGTTTGAATTCTTGTTTTGTCTTAGTTTCTTTCTATTAATAGAATGCGAAAAACATTAATTACAACTAAATGGGACATCTCTCCAATTTAATACATGTTCTAGTGATTATGTGATTCTAAAATGCATGTCATTTGTACAATATACGTGCATTACCCCATGCAGCATCAATTTGACAAAATGAATTGATTGATATCAACTCGAATTGAACTTGTTATATGTAAACTGTTTGTTTCCATTTGCAGCGTTTCAAGAGCGGAACATCGCATAGTGGTGATTATCAAGCTGCATTGACCACAAGCGCCCCAACTGAACTTACCTCTACGACTAACAATATTCGTGTAGCTTGTCAAACCACTACTAGTGAAACCACTACTGTTGGAATTTGGCTTGATGCCGGTGCACGCTATGAAGAAGCCCAGAACAATGGTGCCGCAAATTTTATCCAACGTTTAACATTCAAAGGTACAGCTAAACGTGCGAAGGCAAATTTGGAATCCGAAGCTGCCAGCTTGGGTGCTCGTTTGTATTCTTTTACTGACCGGGAACAAACCGCATTCTATGCCACCTGCTTGAATAAGGATGTACCAAAAATTGTCGAAATCTTATCGGATGCCGTACAAAATCCAAAATTGGATGAAACCGATATTGAAAATGAACGGCAAAAAATTTTGAGAGATTCTGAAGAAATCGAAAGCAATGTCCAAGACGTTGTCAACGACTATTTGCACGCAATAGCTTATCAAGGAACACCATTGGGCCAAACCATTTTGGGTCCAAGAGAAAATGTTCTCTCATTAACATCAAAGGACTTGAAATACTATATCGATACCCATTATAAGGCATCTCGCACCGTGCTAGCTGCATCAGGTGGTGTGAAACAAAATGAACTGCTTCAGTTGGCTGAACTAAATCTTGGCAAATTGGACGATACATTCGACGGCGAACCACCGGTTTTGTCAAGATGCCGTTATACTGGATCGGAAGTTCGTCTTCGTGATGACTCACTTCCATACGCCTATTTTGCATTGGCCGTTGAAGGACCAGGATGGAACAGTCCGGACAGAATTCCATTGCTTGTTGCCACCAGCGCAATTGGTGCGTACGATCGTTCCCAGGGCAAGCTTGGAGAAAATTCAACATACGGTAAATTGATTAAATTTATTCTTTTGTATGAAAATCTTCTAAATAGTTTTTCCATATTCCAGAAATTTGCCATAGTTATCAAGCCTTTAATATTACATATAGCGACACCGGACTATTTGGTGTGTATTCAGTTTGCGAACCATTGCAATGTGAGCACATCTCAAAGGCTGTTTTGGAAGCATGGCATCGAGTCAGCTACAGCATCACTGATGCCGAACTTGACCAAGCCAAAAATCGTTTGATCACGAAACTATTGGCTGAACAAAGCAGTGAGCAAATTATGCCTTATAATAATTTTATGCAAATGTTTAATTTTGTTTTTTTTTTTTAACTAATAGCCTCCAAAGGGAATTGCGAAGACATTGGCCGATCAATTTTGGCTACAGGACGCCGAACACCGTTAAACGAGTTGGTAGCGACCATTCAAAATTTGTCCAACCAAACTGTACGCGATATTACTGATAAATACACAAATAATAAATGTCCAGTGCTCTCTGCCGTTGGTCCAGTTGAAAACCTTACCGATTACGTTAACATCCGAACAAGAATGTACTGGGCTCGCGTTTAAGATGTAAATAAAATATTTTGAACATAAAGTCGACCATTTTGCATCCAGTCAACGGAATACAATCAGTTGATGGGCGACATGGAAAATCTTATTAACCTAATTAAAATAATAAATACTATACTTGCGATTCCTGTCAACAATATTCTGTTTGTATTTTAATTTCAAACCCCAACAATTTTTGTGAATTGGTTTTTTTTTCTTACCAATTTAAAACAATTAAAGACGTTGTTTTTAACAAATGTTTTTAATAGTTGCATATGTGTCGGTGAGAATAAAAATGGGAATACAGAAGTGTTTGAATTGAAGCGCAACATGCATTTTTCTCTCTCTTAAAAACGCAAAATGAATTGTCGCTTCAATAGAAGCGTAACATGAAAAATGGGAATATTGAATGCGGATTTTTGTGTTTTCCGCGAAAATGATAAGAGTAAACGATGTTTTATCTTCGAAAAAGTTATAGAATTGGTCAAATCCCAAAACTTTGCTGAACACACCAACTCATTATCTCTTATTATTTTTGCGAAAAACACAAAAAACCATACAGGTGGGCGAATTTGCGAGTATATACTCACTCATTTTGAAAATGAGTTTGTCGAGATATACACAATTGAGTAAGAAAATAAGTCGGAAATCGAGTCGGAAAATGAGTAGGTGTAGAGTTACTCTTTCTGAAAAAAATGAGTATGTCGAGACATACTCATTTACCGTTTGTATGGGAGTAAGAATAAGAGTATGAATTATACTCTCTTACTCCGCCCACCTGTAAAAAACCACATACAAAATCCATATTTTTCTTGTTACCCTTCTATTGAAGCGACGATTCATTTTGCGTTTTTAAGAGGAAAAAAATTATGTTACGCTTTAGTTCAAACACTTCTGTATTCACCGACGCGTATGTATGTATTAGAAATAAATTATTTATATTATTTTTTGAAACATGAGGGACACAGGAATAAACGAAGGTATTTATTATTGAATAAAACCACTCTAAAAGAATTTATATATAAGTGACTTCAATCTCCTAATGACTTTTGAAATTGGATTGAATCTATCATCGTAACTTTAGATGTCTATGTTTATGGTAAAATATTTCGAGAGCTTGATATTCCATTTCGTAAATGTCAGGTATTTCGCATCCAAGTGATTCTTTGAATACCATCGTCACGGTTACTTTTTGAAACAGTTTTTCTTCATAAAAAATCAATTGCCGAACAAATCCTATATTCGGTCTAATCTGTGGTCTGCAAAGGAATGAAAAGAAAAACAATATAATATTTAATTTTTCACAGTACTTATCATATTATTTATGTGAAAAATGACCGAAAAATAACTAAAAGCTTTTATTTAAAAAAAAAAAACTTGAGAAAATATTTCTCTAAGAAAAAGATACTCTGAAAATGAAAATCAAGGAAGAAAAAATGGAAAGCTATGCCAGAAACATCTAAAATGTGCAAGATATGCATTTATCAATAGAAAAAGGTGTAAAAACTAATTTTTATTCTAACTCAAAAACATTTTCATATCATAATCACCTAGCTGTTCGAACTAATTCGAATGCACCTTTTAAAGACATCTTCCAGTATTTCATTAAATAGGCGAGAACCAATGATGCAGATCGACTCACACCGGCCACACAGTGTACCATCGTTTTACCATTCGTTTGACGTATTTGTTCGATGAGATCGGACACCTCATCAAAGTAATTGCTGATGTCAATATCACTTTTATCTAATACGGGTACTTGAAGATACACTGGTTTGGAGCCATCAATCAACGGCAACGGTGTTTCGGGCAATTCAGGCGCTGCATTTATCACACAAGTTATACCGAGTTTTTCTAAAAATACTGGAATAGCTACGCCAGCTCCGCATAAGTACAGTGATGGCAAAATTTCCGAAATCCCAGGCAGACGGATGTGTGATTTCAAACTGTTTCAAAGAAAATCGATGTTAATGAATATTCGATTCATATAATAATTTAAACCAATTCAACTGATTCGATTTCATCGTCATGGAGCAAATTAGTTAAATATTATCATGGACTATTGGTATTAATAATAGCATTTTTCAAACTTTCATTACTACAAATGTGTGTGAGTCGAGCTCGGCGAATTTGTTTTTCGTCATAGATCCGTCATCAAATGATTATGACGTTATCTTCATTTCGACCGAATCATATTACTTCATTACAATATACGCTATACGTTGAGTACTAACCAAGCCGTTGCTCGTGCGCAGCAAAAAGATCGTCCGAAGATTGAACTCGGTTGTAGAATAAATAAATAAAACGAAAAGATGTGAGCCGAAAAAAACATACAAAAAAAAATCAACTGATTTTCATATTCGGCGCGCATATTTTCGCCCGTGTGTCAACATATTTTCCGTCTTTTTATTTGTTTTGAACATTCCCGATCGCCTACTAATTTGACAGTAAAGTTATTACATATATGGTGCCGTAGAGTGTCTCAGATATATGTATTTTGCGTATTCATTTTCATACGGCATTGTCAGCAGTGGAATGTCGGGCAGAGGTCGTTATAGATTGCACAACATTCATACAGCGTTAAGTTATTGAATAGCGAGATCTTCGTTGTTTTTGTTTTGTTTCGGAAACAATTTTGCGCGTAAAATTGGCAGCACAAAGATGCTTACTACAACAAAATATCGCATACACATTGACATTTGAAATTCCTTTAAGGCCATCGACGCATCAGCAATAATATTCATAAATGTTTAAAGAAAACTGAAAACGAAAATCGAATTTTCACCGCATTCAAATACTTATGTATTTTGGTTACTGAATGCCACTAACATGACTCATTTCAGAACAACACGTTTGATTCTTAAAATTGTTTAACAAGCTGATTTAAATCGAGCGCTGTCTTATAGGAATGGAATATTATACATAGAAATTATTCGGAAACTAACTCAATTTTTCAATTTTTTTAAAACCCTGTCATAGATATTTACATATCTATTGACTAGATCGAGAGGAGAGTAAGTTCATCTGACTTTGTTATGAAAGAGAAGAGTAAGTTTCTTTCGACTCAAAAATGGTTAAAGGCGAGTATGTTCATTTTTGGCGGGTCCTCGCGGTTTTCCACGGTTTCCGCGGAACTGATAAGAGATAACAACTTGATGTCTTCGGCAAAGTTGTAGCACTCAAGGTCTTCTATAACATTGCTGAAGTCAGTTATCTCTTATCTCTTATTAGTTCCGCGGAAAGCGCGAAAAATGATAAGAAAAAAAAAGTTCTATATAAAATTTGCTTTTTTATGTGCGCGATTTGCGCGCAACTGATAAGAGATAAGAGATAGATGTCTTCAGCAATGTTATAGAAGACCTCGAGTGCTACAACTTTGCCGAAGACACCATGTTGTTATCTCCTATCAGTTGCGCGAAAACCGTGAAGACCGCAGAGGCTAGACGGTACTACAATATACTCTTCTTTAACGCCAACAGAATCATCAGAAAACATACTCTCCTCTTTCAAAATATATTAGAATTTTTTCACATACTCTCCTCTCGATCCAGTCAATAGATATGAGTATAAACCATATGGTGTTGACATTTTTTATACGCGTTTTTTTCATCTACGTCTATAAACGTTTTGAGACGATTTTTTTCATTTCTCACGCTCATCACACATCAAAACAAAACATAATTTGATTATTAGATCAGAAACACTTGCACAATGTTAATGGATTGTTAAGTGATAATTTCTTGTGCCACAACATCTACAACTTCCCAACATGACATTAAATAAACATGCGTCAATTTTCTTTTGATAATTTTTACAACATAATAGAATTAATAGATTTTAAATTAAAATCAATATGATATTTACCTTTCATCATTGTTGTGAGTTTTTAACAGATCCTGAATTACATTTGTTTTGTGTTGATCGAATGCATTGGATTCATTTTTTTCACACTCATTGCATACGGCAGATTCTGTCTTAGCCGATTGTAGTACTTTCATTTTTTTTTTGAACAGTTCGTTTTGAGAATTCACCAATTTTCAATATATTTCCTATAAGTTTAATATGTTTTGCCAATCAATTCATTTCCTTTTGTTTTTAAATAATTTTTTTTAGTCAATTTATTTATAAATCAAAAATTTATTAAATTTTCTGATATAATTGTTTTGTCTATTTACAAAAATTCGATAACAATATTGCGAATAGCTCCCAATTCACTTGACATAATTCTGTGTACTCTTTCAAAACAAACTGTATAATTAGCGTCGCACCAAAATATAAGTAGCAAACACTTTTGCCTACTGCGCTCAGTTGTGAAGATACTATAGTGAAAACAACATTCCTATATATATTTGCCAAGATCGCATTGCGTACGAATGAGTATGATTTTCGTCGCGAACGAAATTGTCGGGTTGAAACGTTCATTCATATGTATCATTTGACTGGTCTTATTGTGGAGTCAAATAGAAAACTCATATACACGTGTGCGTTTACATGAAATTTGTATCAGATTAAAAACCTCTAGACGAGGTTAAAATAGAGTGACGCTCCTGTGCATGGATCTACCACTCAAAATGACTGATATCATTTTGAGTGACGCTAGGACGCGGTATTATCTCTGGATACGAGGTTCATAAGTGTTTTTCGCATTCACTATTGTGAAAATTGATTCACAATAAGGAACAATATCGCGTCACGACTTTTACTCAGCAAAACGCTTGAAATTTTGACTAAATTCAAAAGTCGTGACGCGATATTGTTCCTTATTGTGAATCAATTTTCACAATAGTGAATGCAAAAAACACTTATGAACTTCGTATCCAGAGATAATACCGCGTCCTAGCGTCACTCAAAATGATATCAGTCTTTTTGGGTGGTAAATCCACGCACAGGAGCGTCACTCTATTTCAACCTCGTCTAGAGGTTTTTAATCTGATATCACTACTTTTTGAGGCAATTATTTTCGGAGGAAAATACACCTTTGCCAAAAAAATGTCTTATCATCAGAAAATAGCGGTTTTTTCTAAAAACATTTGCATCCATACTTCACAAACTTTGGAAATAGCAAATTTCCACTAACATCATAAAAGTCCCATTTCTCTTTAATTTCTCATTATAAAATGCGATAAAATTTCAATATGAACATAAAAGGAGTGTTGAAGCAATTGTATCAATTTCAAACATTCAGGATTCAGATGCAGAAATATTGGTTTACGACCAAAATAACAACGAATTGGGTATTCAAACCCAAGAGAAACGGCCAATATGTTCATACGCTGTCTATCCGCCAAAAATACACTACAATATATATTCACGCTTATTGGACGCCGAATTCAATATATATTCTAGTGTATATTCGGTGTATTCTTCAGCGTGAAACATATTGAATCAATGAATGCATTCATGGCCATCAGAGGGCGCCTGAATATGTTTCAATATGTTTCACGCTGAAGAATACGCCGAAAATACACTAGAATATATATTGAATTCGGCGTCCAATAAGCGTGAATATATATTGTAGTGTATTTTCGGCGGATAGACAGCGTATAAACATATTGGCCGTTTCTTTTGGGAATGTTCGTAGACTCCCATTATTTTCACGAAAAAATAGCAGTTTTCTAAGACCAAAACATCGTCAGATTTGTATTTCGCGTGTATTTCGAACAAAAATATCACTTTCAGTGCGAATAATGCAAGTTGAAAAATGTCAAAAAAAAGTACGGACAAACTGACGCACATCCAAATCGATAATTTCATAGAAAACCATAGTCAAGCTGCCAATGCCTATAACTTTTTCAATTTTAGACCAATCGGGGCGCTTAGACCGCCGTTGGAAAGGTGGCGAGGTGGAACTTCTCTTGGACAGCTCATACGACCCCCTGAGTACCCCCTTCGTGGAATATGGGTATAGATTTGGAAATTTATCGAAATTTTGCGACCACTATATCTTTGACTAGACCACACTTCAGGCATGAGGGATATGGTGTTTTCGACTATTTAGGCACTAGACTATTACCTTTCCAACGGTACCTAACATGCCGGGGCTCAAATAGTGTCCTGAGAAAATAGCATACCCACTGTATATATAGTCGTGATGCAAAAACTGGCATTTTTGACATTTGGCTTGGAATGCACAGTGTATGGAGCGTCACTTGTCGGACTATCGTCCTCCGTAATGTGTTTGTGTGTCAAAACTTCCAGAATTATCGATACCAAATATTCCTTTGAGTTTTTGTTTCTTGTTTCGTTATGTTTAGTTATGTTTTGCGACTAAGTTGCGCTTTGATACGTTAGTATATCAAACGCTTCCGTTTCGACTAAGATAAAACGAGAACATATGAAACATGAGCTTTTAATTTTGAAAAATAAACATTCCACCTCCAAGATCATTTTCATGAATCAATCTTGCGTTTTGACGGCGCCAGCCAGAAATGTAATTTGAATTAAAGCTTTTTTTATTCATAACCACGGAAATGGCTTGCAACGGCGACTGAACACCTATATATACCGGCAATTTCGAACATTCTCGAAAATTTTTCTTTAGAAGACATCTGGTATGAATGATGTGTCGCTAGAAAGCCCCTGGCTCGCAGGCACAGGAAATGCATTCACACCTAAAAATCGACCAACCGCACACAAAAAAAAGGATTCATACATTTGCACACATTGACTATGGATTAACACATAGCGTTTCATTTGCTATGCGTTCGCATATACATTTTGCAAACTGTATGCAAAACGATCACACAAATGCTCAATGATCAACATCACTTATGTCGAATCACTGTGAACTGATACGAAAGGTATATCGAAGATAATATTTTTTGTGTACGTTTTTTTTTAATTTTGAGCAGTCCCATTTTATTGTCGGCTTCCAAATATTTTGATAAGCTAAATTCTGCCTACAAATACAAATATTGAATTTTAAACGGCTGTAACCAAATTAGACAATGTAAAGTTGACCTAAACCATACAATCTGGTATAATTGATTACGGTTCGCCATGAATGAAAGGAAATTATGCATAACCCATAACATTTGAAAATAGTAAATCCAATTCATAGTCATAATTCATAAATAAAAATCGACTCATTTTAAACAAATTTTGAACTTTATTTGAAATAAATTGATTTCATTCAAAATTAACATAAATTGCCTGAAATACTATTCTCTTATGGCATTCTGGCTTTTGGATTGTAGGTACCAATCGACCGTGTGTTTGATAGCATCTTCGAATTTGGTGAATTGAAAATCTGGTTGGTATGATCTCAATTTTTTATTTGAAGCCGTTTTTTTGTATTGACCATCTGCTTTGGTTGTGTCGAATTCAATACGTCCTTTGAAATCAAATGCCTTTGCTATCGATCTAGCTACAAATTCAATAGTCACTTCATCCTCTTCATCGACTGCAGCGTTGAACAAAACAAAAAGGAATTAGCAATCAATGCGAATATTTCCATTTTGCGCACAATTAAATACCTGATAAAATGATTGGTGATACGCTATCATATTCTCGCAGTGTCCAAATTGCTAATTTTGCTAGATCATGTGAATATATAAATTGGCGTAATGGCTTTCCAGTGCCATATACCGTAAACACGCGTTCCTCTTGGGGAGTGTTAGTGGTGCTGTCGTTAATCAGGTTATATAACCGTTGAATCATCCCTGGGATTACGTGACTTGCAGTGGGGCTAAAATTATCGTTTGGCCCATAAATATTGCATGGAACGATCGAAGTAAATAAGCGATTATGTTGTTCAAAATAGCCTCTATTTAATACATCTATTAATCGCTTTGCGTAGCTATATCCGAAATTCGAATCATGAGGCAGGCCATTGTGAATCTGAATGGAAAGGAAAAACAGACTGATTGTATCATCTTATTTAAATCAAGACTCAAATAGCAAACATAAAAGAATGATTCGAAATCATGATATGGCAGAAACCGATGTGTAAAGAACGTTACGAGTTAATACCATTGTTTCGTCAATTGGATAGGTGGTTTTGTCCGGAAATATGCAGGTGGATAAACAGGAAACGACTTTTTCCACATTGAACTCATGACACACAAGAAGAATATTATCGTTAATTAACATATTTTGTCTCTAGAAAAAGAAAGTCTAGTTAGTTTTAAATCATTGATCCAATTTGAGCTGAGTGCATACCAAAAAATCTAAATTATTTTTCATATTATGGAATAGTCCACCGACCATTGCTGCCAAATGGATTACTTTGTTTGGTTTATACTTGTCAAATAATTCCCGTGTAGATTGCAAATCTCTGAAAATATAATAAGTACTCAATAAGAACACACATCGGCACATACTTCAAACTAAAGTCTTTAAAATTTGTTCAGAATCGTTGAAAATCTGGAGCTTACGTGAGATTTCCCTCTTTGGAACCAACGAAAAACCATGTTTCATCTCCGCGTTTCTCGGTCGTTTCAACAACATATTTGATTGCACTCCCGACCAATCCGGTGCCACCAGTGACCAAAATTCTCGTTGACATCTTTGCAAACTTGAATAATTTTCTCGACTACGACAAAAGACTGTCTCGAAAGAAATAAATCAATTATTGAAAACTGGACAAAATTAAAGCCAAAGTATTATCGACACGTATACACAGGCAGAATATTGTGTTTACATTACTTATATTGAAAGATATAATAACCTCAAAAGGTAACGTTATCATATCAATACGTTGTTTTACAAATTTGATTGACCTACAAACATTGTGAATATGACTTACATGTAATGAAGCTCAAAACTATATATTTACAAATAAAGTTTAAACTAAATAAATAATTACGCCGACCGAAAATAAACAAACCTCACTTTCTATATGCCAGATTTTCTGAGTTTCCATTGCCCCATTTTGCAGGGTTCAATAAGGTTTCTACAATATGACTATGATTTCAAACATATGGCTTGAAAACACAATAATTTCTATAATTCCATTAATTTAGATTTAGATTTAGAGATAATCTTCATTCTTCAGAATTCATATATTGTTGAATCGGCTTTAATAATTTATTAGAATAGTCTCGACATTTCTTAAATAAATAATCATTAACTTTCTGGTTGAGGCTTGTTCAAAATGATGTTCAAATAGTTTATATAGTATACGAATTCCAAGTTGGAAAGCCTATTGTAATATAGATGTCGCCAAATATTGTTTTGAATGCATAATAAACCATCACGAGAAGATTTTTTGGATTAGATTTTAATGCATATTTATGTTGTATTATCTAATAAATGTGTAAGGGATATCAAATGCATATGCATGCCCTTAGACTTTCTATTCAATGCCAATTAATTCGTAAAATGTGACAAAACATTAGAATATTCTTTCTATGGGTGAGATTGAGAGTAATGTATGTTTCACTGACTTTGTTATGAATGAGAAGAGTAAGTTCCTTTCGACTTAAAAATAGTTAAAGTAGATTAAGTTTTTTTCTCTGTGAGCACTGATTTGGTGTCAGGACGTTATGAATATATGCTGTTGTGTGAAAGAGATTCGCTCACTCTCTCCGATGCGTTGTAATTTCGCAATGTTCGTTTGTTGTCGCATTTCTTCTGTGTTATTTTCCATGCACGTAACAGTAACAGTGATAATGACATTTCACTCTTATACATTGATTCATACAAACAGAATAAAAAATTTAAAAAACTACACAGTATGATCCATCAAAAACGGGATTTATGCGACAAATCGTGTAAAAACGTTAAAATATCGTGTAATTTTCAATGTTTCAAAGATGTCGCGTACATTTGACAGATTCGTACATCGGGTAATAGTATTGACCAATTCACTGTTTTACTTGAAATTATACGATATTTTATCGTTTTACACGATTTGTCGCGTAAATCCTTTTCTGGTTGATTTTACTGTGAAGTTTTTTATATATTTTTTTATTCTGTGCGTACATTGTTTGGTCATGCTAATACAGCGAGCGGAGCTCAACCAAGTTCTCTCTCCAATGCTGGCATTTATGAACTCCTGACACTCTTCGTCGATAGAACTTAATATTTTTAACCATTTATGCAAACAAACTCTATTTTTTCAAAAACCAAAGACAGAAAAACATACCCCTGTTTATTGGTATTCCAAACTAACATGTATTTTGTTAGCTTTTGTTCAACGCAAATAAAGGTTTATGAAACATACTCGCTTTTGTCATAGCCATAAACAGTCAAAATACTTACTCTACTTCAACTATTTCGGAAGAAACTTTCCCTCTTTTTCCTAAAATAAAATCCGAAGGGATAGACACGAATAGCATATTAGTAAATATTAGAACTTATTAAAAACATTTTGACAGCATTGAAAGTATACGTTATATGAAAAATATTAGAAATATTAGAAAAAATTAGAAGAAATTAAAAACCGTGTCTACCCCCTAGACCAAATCACTGAAAAACATACTCGACTTTACAAATAAAAAAAAACATACACTACTCTCAATCTCAACGAACATAACGCGTCCGTATGCAAACTGAGTATCGATACTGCTTCTTCTTCTTTGCACACACATATAACTGTGTGCGCAGCTAGAGCTGTGTTCACACCACTCATAGCTTCTGAAGGTTTTTGAGGATTTTCAATAAAACCTTGTATTTCATAGCCAATACATAAGTGAAAATGAAAATTCTGTTATACCATTAGAACCAGTACCCAGGACCTGTCCAAGATAGGGCGCAAGTGGTGCGCCGCACCACGGCGCTGAGGCGCCGAAAGCGCGCGAGCGCTGAAAGAACGAGACGTAAATTCTTGCAGATTTTTATACCATTGTGCTTTCAAGCAGTAGTGGAGAAGTTACTTACTCAAATATACACTGTACTTCAGTACAATTGATTGGTAAATAATCATGGCGGCTCCATATTATTGCAAAAAGCACAAATGGTATAAAGCCTTCACACGTTCTTTGTGCAAAATGGCAGAAAAATTGGAGCGCCTGAGCGCCGGCAAGAAAAATATCATTAAAAAAGTTGCCGATCGATTTTGCGAGAAACTTAGTGGGTAAAATTCGAGACGAAAATTTTCCATCATACACAGAGGGTCGTTTTATTCCTCACATGCTTTCAAAACTTAGCTACTGATGAATCATTAACATGACGATGGTCAATTTGAAATTTGGATGTCATTCGTAAGAAATTTCTGGGGCAGTCCATCTTACCCGGTGGTCCATCTTATACGGTCTTCCGTTATATAATTGAGTGGTCGGGAATATAATTGACTAAAGTTGAACCACTTATGGATAAGAGTATCACAATATTCTTGTTTTTTTAGAAGTGCAACATAAATTCTATTTGAGAAATCGAGTGGTCGATTCCGCAGTCTTCGAAACATCTTTTTTTTAAATAATTTCATACGAAAATATTTTCTATTAACGAGAATCGGTTTACCGCGGCTGTTGGATGTGTTGGTTGTCCGGCGAAAAATTCTGCATTGAATTGAATATGTGTAAAAATCGCTTTCTCAATTTGGTGTTAGAGTGATGACGTGGCATAGTGTGTGGTGTTTTCAAGCAATGGAATGCAAACCGTTTCATGGATTCGGCAAATCCGATGGAGAATGAATATTCCCGAAGATTCAACTACTGAAAGTAATTTCAGTGGAAATATACACCGTATTCAAACGAATAAGGTGTAAAAATCGGTCAATTAGCTCATGGACAACGTCCAATACAAGGTGATACAAGTTTCAAGTGTAGTGGTATTTCAATCCTGTGTATTTTTTACCATCATTGTTTGATCGATAAATCGACTTGATAAACAAGTTCAACTCCTGGCATAACATAGTTTCTTCATTGGTCTTTGTTAAATTGGATAATTGTCAATTTAAATAATAAAAATGACTGGTCCGGCAATTACAATACAACCGAAATGTGTATATGGGCTTCGGTCAGATGTAAAAGGAAATATTCATTTCCTGGAAAATCAAGAAGTAATTTATCCGGTTGCTGGTGTCATTGCGATACATGACTTCAAGCTTCATAAACAAAAATTCCTTCGCTTGGCAGTGAATCATATTCCAAAGATCATTGTAGTTAGCCCAAATAGAAAATTATTGGCTATTTCGGAATGGAATAACGTGAAGAAAACGTAACAGTTTGCAATATTTTTGAATATAAATTATTAAAATTCTTTTTACGAATAATAATATTATATTTACGCGTGTCTTAAGGTGTATTATAAATGCATATGATATAAACTCATTGAAAAAGAAAAAGAGTATAAAAATTCCGAATGAGGTCCCAATCCAAGATGTCTCATTTATGAGATTCACCGAAGATTCCAGAGGATTGGCAATCTTAAGTAAAGAACCAGATGCCTTTTTGATTATCTTTTATTTTGATAAATCGGAAACGGTTATCATTGGTCGAGTTTCGAATGGCAATCAACCGATGTTGGCGGCAGATGTAATAGCATGTAATATAAGTGACGCTGGACTAGTAGCAGTTGCAGGTTAACTGAACAATTATTAATTTATTGAGAGGTACAAGTCATTTCATTAACCAATGTTTACAGGAAAGTTTATGTTTAAATTAATGACACGACAGGATAAAAGTTTCGGTGTAATTGGAACGATGTCCGGAGAGCATAAAATTATCACATCATTAGTTTGGCTGACAGCAGAAACACTCGTAGCAGGAACTTCAACCGATCAATTGTTTGAGAAATATATTGGAATTACGTTAAGACCTTCGATAAATTGAAGTATTGTATGGGTTATTATTATTATTGTTATAGGTTATTCATTGAAGGTGGCGATGCAAAGCAAAATTTCATCGCTAGCACTGTACATTTGCTTGACTTGGAAAAGGCCAAAGAGAGGTATGATTTGTGACTTTTGAATACAATTATTTTCATAAAGACTGTCATTTTATCTGATTTTGCAGCGATGGTGACCAATCCCATTTAAAATTGAACCCAGTCTCAAGTGGTACAAACGAAACCGATGTAAACTGTCTTACTAATTTCGAAAGGGGATTCTGTTACGCACAGTTCAATCGACTGTTTGTGTTCGAAAAGGAGAAATCGTATGCTCGATACACAAGACGCTCAATTATCAAAATACCTATTGATTTGTATTCAGTGGATTCATACAAAATCACCAATGTATCAGTAAATGCTCAAATGGATTCAGTTATTGTCACTACATTTCATAGTCAAATTTATATTTCGAAATTGTTCGATCCCGAGAATATTACATTGCAAAATCTGGATTTTGTTATGCTAGGAGAACCATTACATATAGCAAGCATAATTTCTATGTCGATATGCTCTTGGAAGCCAATTATCATGACCGCTTGTAAGTATACTGTTACTATTTTCTCTTGTTTGTTCTTTTGTCTATTCTTTTTCTTTTCTCTAATTATTAGCCAAAGATTTTACTGTTCGAATTTGGAACTATGAAGTGAATAAAGTGGAATTAGTAAAAAAATATCAGTACGATATCACTGCTTTGGCGTTGCATCCGAGTGGACTATTCGTTGCCATTGGATTCTCTGATAGATTGCATTTAATGGAAATTCTTCTGAGCACAATGAAAACAGTTAAAGCATTTGATTTTCCCAATTGTGATGAAGTCGTTTTTTCACATCAGGGACATCTGCTAGCTTGTGCCTACGGCAGCCTTATAACCATTACATCGGTGTTTTCATTTACCATTTTAGGATGTTTACAAGTGAATCTGACCACGCATTTGACCTATGTAACCGAATCAATCAATAGATTCAATTTGATTTGGTTTTTGTTTTAGGGTCACAATGGAAAGGTATTGAGCATGTCCTGGTCGATTGATGATAAATTTTTGGTGTCATCTGGGTAAATAATTATACTAAAAATAGAGTTTTTTTATGTTTTGTATACAAATCGAATATTTTCCATATTTTGAATATTCTTCAGGTCTGAAGGAGCCATCTATCAATGGTGTGTCACTACTAGAACACGTGTCAATGAATCGGTTGAAAAGGGAACGGCATTTCGTTCGTTAGCACTTACTCAAGACACATCAATTTATGTGTGTACTAACACTGGTTTATTTCGCGAAATCCACAACTCGGATATAATACGAGAAATTGACCCAAGCGCAGGTATTCCATTAACACAAATTGCTTTAGCAAGATCAGACATGATGTTGTTCGTTGGCACAGGTGAGGAGTTTCAATTTAAAGATGTATTACCATACCTTTTAATTTTCAATAAATTTATTTCGATAGTCAATTTAATTTCTCTTATTGTAGAAACAGGGAATCTATACAATATACAAGTTCCATTTTTAGAAGCTGGCGGCGGAACATGTACAAGATACAGGTTGAATTTCTTATTTCCGTTTCTCTCTTTCTCACACAAATTTGGTGTTTTTGATATAGATTCTCGACACGTTTTATGATATAGATTCTTTAGCAATGCAATTTCATGCATGAAAATTACTTTCGATGATCGACTATTGGTGGTTGGTTCCGAGGATGGTACTCTAATCATTTGGGTTATTCTAAATACAGAAGGTTTGTCCATTGTCCCAGAAATATCACACGATATTTATTTCAACACTGTGTTGTTCACAAAAGAGTGCAGAACAAAAACCTATTTTCAGGCAAAACAGCTCCCGTTGACATTGATCATGGCAAATGTTCGGATATTATTGTGCCACGATATGATCTGATAGAGAAAATCGAACAAATAGAAACGTTAGAAGCACGTTTAAATCAACAACTCTCAGAGCATTCATTCGAATTAGAACATGCAAAGAAGATGCAATCTCTTGAGCTGCAGAAAACATCTGAAAAATATGAGAAAACCATAAAAAAGTTAAAAGAAGAACGCCAATCGCTAGAATTAAAATACCTCGAAGAGCGAAATATTATTCAATCGGCCATTGAAGAAAGAGATTCGGAACATTCTACAGCTATTATCCAATTGGAGGCTAAGCTTAACGAGAAAATTTTAACTGAATTGGACAAATCAACTGAATTAAAGGTGAAAATAGACAATTTAAAAGATGATTATGAACAGAAACTGCAAAAAGCTGCCAATTGTCTCGAAGAGACCATCGAAACATTCGGAATTAGTCTTAAAGAAGAAATGAGCAAACGACAAGATCAAATACAAACGCTTGTTGATGAAATTCAAACGAAAAAGGAAGAATTTTTCCACTATTGTACCCAATTGAACTTGGATAACGATCGAGTGGTGGCTAAAATAAAGTTGAACTATGAGACTATGCTGAAAGAGTCCAATGATGATTTGTTAAAGTGGAGAACTGAGGCCAGCATTTTAACCAAAAAGAATGACAGTACTTCTACAGTTTGCGATCAATTGCGCAGTGATATTTCCCTTTTACTTGATGAATTTGGCAAAAATAAAAAATACATTTGCCAATTAGAACAAAATATGTCCGAATTACAAATAGAAATTGACATTCGGAATAAAATAGTTTGTGAAAAGGAAGTTCGTTTGATAGAATCACTGGAAAAAAATGCTACAATGGAAAAGATGAAAAAATTTCTTAATGAAAGGGCCATTCAATTGGAAGCTCAAATTAAACCACTTGATGAGGATATTAAACGAAGCATTCGTAAATTCAGTGAAATTGAGAATTTAAAGAAAAATCTTTTATGGAAAATTGATGATTTGAATATCAGAATTCAATTACTGCGGAATCGATCGAAAGCAATTGCAAATGATTTAAACACCGAAAAGATCAAGAACCTTCATGTTCAAACCATAATCAAACGAATCCTTGCGGATATTTGCTATATGATGGAACACATACAAGATTTACCTAAATTGAAGGAAATTGCGATGAAATTGTTCAAGCGGTATACATTCATTGATTTATTGATAATATGTTTTTATTGTTAACTTGGTTTGAAAATTGGAACAATTTTTTTTTTTGCTCCCACAGACATGTATCATCAAAACAAATGATCGCAATTTCGAATAAACTTGAGATTAAGGATGAAGTTGCCATCATGGAAAATGAACTTGCGACCACTAAATTTATGCCTAAGAAAGTAGTAAAACAAGCGAAAATTGAAGAAAAGGATGAAGTGACTGGACACTCTGATCGAATGAAGCTAATTAAAGAAAATTTGTTTTTGCTATCCGAAATAGATAAATTGAAGCAAACGAACGGTTCCCTAACTCAAAGAATATATTATCTAGAATCGATCAAAAGAGCACAAGTGAAAAAGTTTTAAATTTTGAAAAGAAAAGAAAATTTGTTTGATTGCTTTTTGGCAATTAATTGTTCAGTTTCAATTCAGTCAACATATGTAGTTTTTTTTTATTTTAATTTTATTTTTGAATTGCAATTGCTCGACAGTTGCTTCATACATCATTGGTCATACATATTAAGAATTTGGAAAGCGGCAAAGCCATGATCATTACCCTCTTCACAACTATTGGTGATCAATTGAATATCCATACCTTGAAGAAAAATATCAAACAAGGCATCAAAGAGTGGAATTACTCGTGTGAAGAACTCTTTAGGTTTGTCCTTAAATTTTAAAACCACGCTCTGCCCAATCGTGTCTTGGTCCAATCTAATGTACTCTATAAAACCCGAACACGCAGAATTATCAAAATGATTTGGTCGTAGCGATTTTTCCATCATCGATCCATTCACTGAGAGAGCTGATAATGAAAAGTAATTCAAATGATATAAAAGCAAATGAATACTTTTTTTTAATTTATCTCACTTACTCATATATTTCTCTTCATTCGCTTCAGATAAAGCGGTTTTTCCCATTGAGAACACCATTAATATCGTTAGCCAAAACATATTACGTACAGTTATCCTGTGTAGAAAAGTACAAAAGAAAAGCAACATTTAATTTGGATTTTCTAAGAATCCCTCTTGAATGTATTTTCCCGACAATCATGCAACATTGCATGCACTGAATAATTGATATGTGTGTCGCATATGCAGTGCGATCTATTTATGATGCAGGCAAGCTATTGTTGGTTTATATTATACACGAGAAAAGAACCAAAAGAGTTATTGTAAAATAATTTTTTCCTAAAATCTGTTAGACAATGGACATTTGAATTTTTCCTTTTAATAATTTTTTCGCCATTTTTACAGTTTTTTTTCTCGTAAAAGTGAACTGTGAGAAGTTTCCATTTGCCGTGTACCGATATATGACGCTGCTGTGTACCATTTCTGGCGTAATTACTGGACAATAGTTTCACATACCACTTTGTGAGATAATAAAGATACAAATTCAAAATTCAAATGCAAATTCAAATAGAAAATGGGTTTGGCGATATATAGTTAATTTTACTTCGTAAGATCTCAGTAAATTTCACAAAACAAATCTATTCGTGCACTACAAAAAAAAACTAAACTCAAATTTACTTCCACCTACTATAACCTCTAATGAGTTGTCATTTATTTGCCGGTCAGGTTTGACCGCTCAGCAATTGGCATTTGCCAATAGCTTTTGGTTAAGTTTTTTCTTTGTGTGAGACGTAAAAAAATGCATGTTTTTTTCTCGGTATATATTTTTGAAAAGGAAAGTATGTTTTCTGTTGATTCTGTTTGCGTTAAAAGAAATTATGTTGGCATGCCATATGGCGTCGCGGTTTTTCACGGTCTCAGTTTCATCAGTTGCGCACAAATCGGGCAGTTATAAAATCAAATTTTATATAGAACCTTTTTCAATTATTTTACGCGCTTTTCGGGAAACTGATAAGAGATAAATGTCTTTGGCAACATTATTTTATCCATTATTAGTTGCAATGCAACATACCTCTCTTTATTGATACAAAGTTGAACAAACTCGCGTTCTTTTACGTCTCACCAATAAAGATAAATGAATGTGTAACTTCTCTATAACTGAAAAAAATTTTGTTTCCAGTTTCCCGTAATATATGAATATATTAGTGACTACATTCAGCTAACATAATATCTGCCCCTATCCGTTATCTTCTAATAAATTGCTCACAATATTTTGTGACTATCTTACCACAAAAAATTCATTGAATCTTTGAATTCTTGACGAATATTCCAATATTACACGAAATTTCCCACGAAAATATCTCACAAATTTAAAAGTTCAACGAATTTTTTGATCAAAATAACTGCAGCTTATTGAGAGATAATACGTAGGAACAGATATTATGGTACCTGAATTTATTATTAGTATATTCCTGGTCTTTAATTTTATTCATGTTTTTATATATTCTACTTACGTCGAAATACTGTTTATTATCACCATTTCTTATTGACTCAGGATTCGAAATAAAAACCCGATGTTACTCTATTCCTTAAATATAGCTTTGAATACAGAAATTATTAATGTATTTTTGCACAAAATCAACCATGAAAAATTATCATTGATTTGAAATGCTGAAATGAGTTTTTAAAAAATGAAAGATTTTTCCATTAAAAATGAGGCAATCTAAAATCGATTACTCAATGAACACTGACCATCTGTACATATACAAAAATTCAATTGTGTTGTTGATAATAAAAATGGTAATACAGAAATGTTCGAATCAGAGTTTACTTTGAACTTAATTCATCAGCACTAACTAAGTTTATGCGAAGAATTTATCAGATAAATCTCACGCGTTGCTGTATAAACTCATCGCATGTTTGAACAAGCAATGCCAGTGCGTATTCACACAAATAGCATTTCATTTATGTAGGATTTTCTAGTATAAATACTATATTGGGATACTCGTGTGGAAAATTTTTGACTGTCTAAGTCAGTCGATTACGCGAGAAACCGCAAAAAACGCGAAAAAACGCGTTTTTTTCCTTATCGTTTTTTCACGGAACTGATAAGAGTTAACGAAATAATGAATCGGAACAATTGTAGTACTCAACCAGAAATACAACTTTGCCTTAGACGCCATCTCGTTATCTCTTATCAGTTCCGTGAAAAATGATAAGGAAAAAAACGCGTTTTTTCGCGATTTTCTGCGGTTTCTCGCGTATTCCATGAAACTGATAAAAGATAATGACTTGGTAACTTCGGCAAAGTTATAGAGCAGCTTGAGTACTACAACTTCACCACAGACATTAAGTCGTTATCTCTTATCAGTTACGCGAAAAAACGCGAAAAATTCGAGTTTTTGATAATCATTTTTCGCGAAACTGATAAGAGATAACGATTTCATGTCTATGGTGAACTTGTAGTACTCAAGCTGCTCTACATTTCTGTCGAAGAGGCAAGTCTCTTACTTCTTATCATCTTCACTAAAACGATGTGGGAAAATTTTGCGATTTTCGCGTTTTTTCGCGTTTTTCGCGGAACTGATAAGAGATAAGCAATATTTGTTACACCAAAATTATAGCAAACTTTGAGTATTACAACTTTGCTGCAGACACTAATTTGTTATCTCTTATCACAGTCCAGATTTCATATGAAGTATCTTGGGGGCCCTGGAGTCCCCCAAGAACAGTAATATGTTGCAAATATGAAGAACAGTCATAGTGTTAAAAGTTTTAGAAGTCGTCCTTTAAAATTTATTTGTAATGAAAATTCAACCTTCATTACAGACGACGTTCGATCATGAAGCACAGAATCACTGCTGAGCTCATAAGTCATTGCTGTATTTATGTACGTGAGTTAGAAAAGCAAATCGTTGCAACGATTTCGGTTGACGTTTGAGCGGCAAATCGTTTCAATGATATTGAGTGCAAGGTGCGGAAATAGAATGAAATTTCAAAAATACCGAATATTTTAGTTACAAAATGAACTTCAAATTACATCGATTTGCTATAGAGCTCGTGGCGTCACCGTCGGTTTTATTACACAAAATATCGCGTTTTTGCCGCAACTTGATTGAGTGTATTGTGCATTTCCATAGAATGCTTGTGGCAATGGTCGTTGAGCATTGGATTTGTATTCCGTTGGATGTGTGATCATTTCCAAAATGATTTTTTTTTCATTTTTATTAATTGTAAATATCAATTAGAAACAAATATTCAAGTTTATTCAGCAACGCGTGCGATTTATCTGATAAATTCATCGCATAAACTTAGTTAGTGCTGATGAATTCAGATTCAGTTCAAATTAAACTCTGGCTCTAACTGAAGCGCAACATGAAATTTGTTTCTTAAAAACATTACATGAATCATCGCTTCACTAGAAGCTTAACATGAAAAATGTGAATATGTTTATTTGTGTCTTTTGCAGAAATGATAAGAGATAAAAAGTTAGTGTGTTCAGCAATGTATTTGGATATGAATAATTCTATAAGTTTGTTGGAATAAACGAAAATTGTTCTGGAAACTTCGAAAAATGTCCAAAAAAACGTCATAAAATTTTCGAAATTCGACATAAATTTTGATTGGAGGAACAATAAATAAAATCTTCACCAGGACCGTGTGATGAGATATTAGTATCACCAACAACAACAAATAGCGATATGGAGAACTAACATGGAAAACACTCAATTTTGACGTTTGTCAAAAAGCACGATTCTTTCCTTTGGCCTTGTCGAGGTTCTTTCAATTTGTCGAACAGAACAAGAGACGCGCATTGTTGATAAGAAGAAATACAAATTACCATTTCAAATACGAACACCACGCCTTTCTTTTGACGTGGTAAACATCCGAACGCCATTCTGACGTCTTGAATATATTATTGCAGGAATTACATACGGTTTCCAATTGACACAAACGTTCATGTGGAGTTACGTGTGACACACGTAGGTATGTGTGTGAGTATGTTTCGAGCGTACGAACTTCATTTGGACGTTGACACCACTCTATTTGAAAGGTACAGTGTACCTACACAGAATGTGTGTGATTTGTTGTTGTAAAGAATAAAACAGGGCGAAGTAAACGTCAAACGTGATCACAGAGTGTACCTGTTGCGCAGCTACGTGAAAATCCGTTCTTATTTATTCATCTAAATAAATTGTTAAATTGTGAAATTATATTAGCATTTAAGAGAATAGGGAAAGAGAGCGACTAGAGCTAGATTGCATTTAAAGAAAACACATCAAATGTATTGAGAGCAACTATAAAAGACCTAAGTTAAGCTAAAGTAAAATAGTAACACAATATATTTGTGAAGCATGAGCGCTAATGAAGTTTATAACCATGGTGTTGTTAATACTAAATATAGTACTCCAAAGTACAGTGAAGATTTGTTTCGAAATTTATTTATTTAATCATAATTATGATTGTGCTTCCAATCAGGCAATGGAGGAGAAATTTGATGAATCAGAGTATCAGAGTAGCTTTGGGCCTCCAATATGCTTTATAAAACGATAAAATCCTCAAACATTGAAAATATGTCGCATTTACATAATAATAAAAATAAATCAATGTGTAAAACGTACGATTTAGGCGTTCAAATGTGGCCCGTCTAAAGGTGGTTGTATGCTTTAGAGGGTTAAGCAAAATTAGAGCTCTGAACAACATTATCTATCCAACAGTACTCGTTCATCGACAAAACTATGACCTAAAGCAAAAGCGTTATCCAACCTCAAGGGGCGAATTACTACTGAAAAATTGAATTCAGTACTTTTCAGTGGTTTTCAGTACTTTCAGTGCCCAATGTATTAGTATATGAAAGTACTGAAAATGGCATTATCTTTCGAGGAGAAAAATGAATGGATGGCAGATCTGTCAAAACAAATTTCAACTGTCAAAAATCCCGATCTATTTTGATACTGAAAAACACTGAAAAGTACTGAAAATATTTTTCAGTCTTTTCAGTAGTGATTTGCCCCTTGTCCAACCTGCTGCAAAGTCCCCTATTTGTAATATTTCACGTATTTCAACTTCGAGTGATATATTTCGAATATCGATTGCCAAAAATTATATGGGAAAATATCACAAAATGTCCTAAATATCGCTGAAATATTCCAAATATATATGAAACATGACGGGATATTGAGTTTTTTTTTTTGAAATGTTCCCGTATTTGACACGTCCCGAACCCTTCGCCCAAATTTGTGGCGCTGAAGAGCGTCCACTCTATTGATCATAACCGTGCGGATCTGGTTTCTTCAGTAAAACAATTTTTTCTATTTTTAATGAATCAATATATTTTCAGTTATAATTTTTTTCTATCAACGAGATCCTCTATCCAGCAAGTTGTATGATGCAAATCCAAGATCACCAGTACGACATGAGTTGGTGATTAAGTGTATCTTTGCCTTTCTTATGAATGCTTCAATAAGTGGTCTAATTAGTGTAGATGCCCTCGTGTAGTTTTCGCTTATTTCTGTGTTGAGTTGTATATGTATTTTGTTCTTTTTATTACGTCCCTCACCCTCAAATGTAAAGCGAATGGCCTTTATTATCCCAGCACATGGCGCTTCATAGCCCCCTGGATGCAATGGAATTATGGGCAGCGATTCTTCTGCAAAATCATAATCAAGGAACAATATAAACAACGATTTATTCACCTATTTTGTTTTTAGACGAATCAAATCAAACTATGCAACACTGACATGATATATCTTTTCGATGAGCAATATCCCCGTAGTATTAACAAGTAGCTGTCAAAAGACAGCGCGAATGCGCAACGCATTTTGACGGCAATATTCGACACTACTAAATGTCTGCCAATGTGATTATGAGGTAAGTGCGTCTACGGCCACGCTCTTTTCACAACGAGCGTGCATCTACACCCTTGCTCAAAGTTTGGACCACCATGTCCAAAACGTATATTTTTACATAAATATCGCGCCATAATTTTCTGCTTACGTTGCCACATTATCCGATACTGAATAACCGTTGTGCGTCGCAAGACACTTGCTGATACATTGCTGTTCACTCAATGCCGCTCGCGTTCGCTTCGTTATATGTGTAAAGCGCAACGGCTATTCAGTATCGGATAATGTATACTCACACATACAACTGTATTGCAAATCAATGTTATTTGGAGTTCATTTTGTAATTACGAATACGTGGTATTTTTGAATTTTCGTGTTATTCCCGCACCCTGCTGAAAATATGCGTTTTGGACACATTGGTTCGAAAGAACTTTATTTTGCAAATGATGTTAGTGTACTGCTACAGCGTCGGTACGCAATGTAATTCGAAGAGCCAATATAACACGCATAAAAATCGTCGTTAATATACGAATTCAAATAGAATGCCTTATTGTGAGTAGACTCGGGCTACAGCATACAGATAACCGCATTTTATTTTTATTCGATGAGTGTGCTCTCCGAAAAGATATATCGTGAAACTTTATCGATGCTGCATGGTTTGAATCAAATGAAAACTCTTCTAAATACACATAGCCGCTAGATGTCATGTTCTACTGCTACACTATCGGTGTTTTGACGTTTCACCACTAAATTCGTTCATTTGTTTAGCGAATTCCAAATAATACATACTCGAGATCTCATTTTGTATATACGGCTATATCTGGAGATATTAGTGTTTCCTATTTTTAGGCGATAGCTGTGGATATTTTACAAAGGTGGTGACATTTACCAACGATGTAGTAGTAAAACAAACCATCAGGCTACTGTCCTTAGCAAAAATCCACATCATTTTTGGTGTCAACTCTTGATACCCATACAAATCTACACTGCATTCACACGGTTACTTGAAATTAAAAATGATGTCAAACGACTTTACACTCAAGTATACTATAGTCACATGGTTCTACGTTCAAAACCGTGTGAGAACAGTGTCAGATATGCGTTAACGCAACGTGGATCCAGTGTGGATTTTTGCTTGGGTGTGTGTAGTTTATTAGCTTTATATTAGTTCTCTATGGGCACCGATTTGAGGCAAAAAAACGTAACCTGGAGACTGATTGCAAGGTGCCATACTTCTAATGTTCCAACAAACACTATCCTCTATAGCAAAAAGTCTTCAGGTAGCATCTTAATTTTCTTTTTTGAACATTTCTTTTTTTGGTTAATAAAGGCGAGTTAATCCTCTTAATATATCCTTTTCCTTTGGATATGTATGTCCAAAGTGATTACCAAATCAAAAATAAATTCTTAAATTAACGATGTAGTGCTGCGAACATGTGGTTATTTTAATTTATAATTCTACAAATTATATATTTAACTAGCCTCATTTTTAATAATAAAATGTATTTAATCCCTTCAATTTAGAAACCAAAATACTTACGTTCGAATTGACCCTGTTTCTTGAATGTTGCTATTTTAAAACTGTAGTCTTCTCTGTAACAGTTTCCAGAATGTATGGTAACGAAAAGACTATTATAGTATGCCAGAACGAGCGGTACGCGAAGGTAGTAGACGCCGGTCCAGATGTTATGTGCAAGGCCAGGAAACCATATGACTGTGAGTGCGCCATTAGCATTAACTCCTGTACCCAGTTTCATTTGTGATATGACTCCACTGCATCCATCGCGATTTTCATATTCTTAACACAGTAGAAACAAACGGATATTAGTAATATTAAAGGGTAAAAAAATTCCACTTGTTTGAAAAATATAGTAAAATTTAATTCTCAAATTGAGGCTGTCGTACGCAATAGATACGAGATCCCCTTTTTGGAATGTCCAGAATTTATTTATATTGGTTCAAATAATGTTATGGCTCTAGCCGTAATACGGCAATAATATCTTACATAAACTGATCTGATTTGATGCCAAATTGTGACTGAAATAAATGAATTGCTAAAGTACAGAATAACTGTAGCACTAACAATCTGTGCCATTTTTCATAAGGCGTCTCCACTCGTATTAAGTTTGTATTATAATTTTTAAGGTGCGTTTAACGCCCTTCAATGTAAAAACGATGCAAGTGGAGGATGATACACGGAATTTATCTGTATTTTTGTTTGAATTGTTTTGCCAATAAGATGTTTTTTCTCGATAACACCTAACAACATGTGACAATAACAGAAATAGACGATTTTGAGTGGCCAGCTTTAATGACAGGGAACTCTTTTAATTCTTAGAAACTACCAAAGAGAGCGCCATCAGCTGTACATATAGATAGCGCCGTCTTTGCATACATTGAAATATTACTGAAATATATTTTAAAAAATATCTCCACTCATTTGTGTCCATCTCCAAGTGAGTGAGCTGCATGCGGATGAGGTGGAAATAAGAGGCGTGCAAATCGTTTCGCAGAATTTCTTTAGTATTTGAATATGAGGTGCTTTTGCACCATGCTATTTGAATGCGGTTTTGAATTTCTATTGAATTTAAAGTTAACATACCAGTTTCCGAATACTCAGCAGACACAAGTGAAACGTAAATTAACAATATTACAAATTGAAACATGTTTATGGCTTTCTTTGGTCGTTAATTCAAAATATTATACTGATTAGTATATGTGAATTAACTTACCTACAGAAATGTCAAAAGAAACTATTAGATATTAAATATTTTTGATTTCTAATAGTATAAGTTTTGCAGTTGAACATTTGTATTTATCAAAAAAAAGGGAAAATGCGAATTGAATTCACTTTTTTTGTTACTTACATCAAAATATTCGTAGATCTGTTATAAAGAAGAGCCGAAATTAAATTGTGAATTTTAGTTAAAAGTTGCAGATATGAATGGCTAGAACTGCATACAAGACTCCCATTTATACAATTCACATTTGTTGAATTCATTAGCTACGCTTCAAATCAAATTTCTGATATTTTCAATTAATAATATTCTGAAATAAATTTAGTTTTGTATTTCAAAATTACAGAATTTATTTGATTGTGAAGATTGGAAATCGGTTTTAATTGCAATATACACTACTAGTAATCATATTATAGATTGAGTGATTGCGTCGTAAACTAAATGTTCCAACATCAGTTGACCAGGAAAATACGCTTCAATTTCGCAAGGTGTTTGAATCGTTTAATAAATTGCTAGGTTATTTAAACATCGATTGTTATATCAAAATATTACTTACTAACTTTTATATATATAGAACACTATCTGAACAGAATTTTCAAAGATCACGATGACCATGAAGTATGCAATAAATCGAAAATTGTATTTTGAAGTACGTACCAAATCACTGTTTTTTTAAAGGAATTTCACGTGAAATCTAAGGCATGGTATATTTGGAATTGGAGCGAAAAATGGAAGTTATTTTAACATCAGATGCCAGAGATAATACTATATGAGGGGCTCAGAGGAAAAATGTTACGTAGAAAAGTTCCGCGGAAAAATATTCGGGAGCTAAATGGTATCATTTAGCTTTAGCAGACCTAAATGGTATCATTTAGCTCTGCTAAATGGTATCATTTAGCTTTAGCAGAGCTAAATGGTATCATATTTAGGTGATACCATTTAGGTGAGCTAAATGATATCATTTAGCGGAGCTAAATGATACCATTTAGCTCTGCTAAAGCTAAATGATACCATTTAGGTGTGCTAAATGATATCATTTAGCTCTGCTAAAGCTAAATGATACCATTTAGGTGTGCTAAATGATATCATTTAGCTCCGCAATATTTTTCCGCGGAACTTTTCTACGTAACATTTTTCCTCTGAGCCCCTCATATAGTATTATAGTATTATAAGCTTATAAGCTTAGCAGTTCAACTATTGATGATATTGTAGTTGTGGGTTTATTTCAATGATAATTCAAAATATAGTCAAATTTTGGATTAAACTAACAGGTCATATAATTTCTCATTTCATGTTGGAATATGTGATCGATATGATGAATATAAAATAATAATTTATAATTTTCTACGCAATAATGCAAGCTTTTAAAACATGACCAAAACTATGTTAATATAAATCATAAAAAAATGTTGCTATAAGCACTCTTCAAGTTGTTAAATAAAATTTGTTATCTAATGCATAACAACAGCCGACATCCGAGCGGCAGTCATAATTTTTGCATGATTCGTCGGCGATTCGGACATAACATTGACTTTGAGCCAAGTCTTGTTTTCACTGGACTGTCGAATAGCGTCTAAAACGGCTTGTACATAAAGACCATGCTCAAAGGTTGCCGCTGATTGTACGGGCTCTTTCACCCAGCTACTTTGTTCTTGAATGAAGGATTCACGTAGCGCACCGATCATTTTGCACATTCCATTTATGTACGGATAAGGCATCACATTATTCACACTGGTAGCCGTTTGCACATTATCCTTGTCCACGAAAAGTGTTTCTTCTTTGCCCGTGCTATTCCGTTGACCAAATAAATCAGTATTTCGCACAATCAGATGTCCATCCCTTCCGCATACTAAAACTTCTTGCAAAAATGTTGTGCTTGAAATATTTGTGAGTATGGAAACTGTAACAATCACCTCGCCACCATCCAATTCCATTTGAAAATTGCAAAAATCTGGTGCAGTCACTTGACGTATGCCACACACATTTTTTGTCATTTTATTGTATGTTTTTACGACGCCATGTACTTTAGTCGCCCGTCGGCCGATCAGAAAAGATACCAAATCGATTATATGACTGCCAATCAAATTGAGCACACCTCCACCCATGGTTGCGTCACAAAGCCAGTCATATTTGTCGCTCAATAACGATCTAATCTGTACTCGAACATCTGCAATATACATTTGATACAAAAATCAATCATTCGCTTTTCGATGTGTGAAAATAAAATTCAACGTACCAATGAGTGAAACATATTTGATTGGCCCCAAATATTCTTCATGCAAACGACGTTTCATATCAACAAATGCCGGTAAAAATCTCAACGAATAATTAACTAATGATATTAGTGATGGATAATACTGTGAGCCTCGAACCTTGATGTAATTGACAAGAAAAAAAAAGTGAATTTAAATCGCCTTTTTATCTTCTTTTTTGATAGTTACAAATGTCTAACTGCAAATCTTCTTACCATTTTCAATGCATCTACTTGACCCAGACCCATTCGCTCGCATACAACATGCTTTCCAATGCCTAACGCTTTCACCGATATTTGTGAATGCAAATGCGGTGGACAAAAAATGAACACCAGATCAACATCCTTTTTCAGCAATACATCGTCTATTTTATTCGTATAAAAGATAATATTGAGCTCTTTTGCTGCTTCTTCCGCTTCACAAATTGTTCTACCCCAGATGGCCTCAATCTTAAAACCTTTGTCACGTAAAATGGGAACTAGAACACGAACCTCAGCAGCTGTCCCGAATACACCAATACCAGGCAACATTGTCAGTCTATTTCGCAATGCGTATGTTTTAAATATTTCACACAATGTTACTGATTTATCTTAATAGTATTATTTGTTCGTTCGTTTCAAATCATTTTCTTGGTCAAAGGCGAAGACAAAACAATATGTTTACCAAAATGTTCTCAATTTGACAGCATCTATGACAAAAGTTCTAATTTTGGGGTTTGTTTGAGATGAACCCATTTCTCTTGAAGATGAGAACAAACCCGAGAATAACTTGTTCGAAGATTTACTTGGTTCTCATGATTTTTAAATTATAAATTGTTTGTGTTAGCATTTATAAAAGAATTAAAACTGTTTTCTAATTTTCTGTACAAATTACAAAACATTGTGAGACTGTTTTTAAAACACCATTAACACACGTTTGGAACGCAACCTAAACTGAATACAATGACAGGTCACAAAATGCCGCTACACCAACACACAGATGCATGAAGACGCTCTCGTTATATTGATCACAGTATTGGCAAACATTTATTTCTTTTTTTGAGTAAAAACTTGTAAAATTCTTGACAAATTCCAGTCAAAGCATAAACAATCTGCTGAAAATCAATTAAACTTCAACGACTAGATTATACATATAGTGAAATTCAGTTGCGATTATAATGGCAGCGCAAATTGCTGGAGTGTTTGAGCCAGTGCTTCAGCAAAAGGTTACTGAAAGCAAAATTTTGGTAGTCGGTGCTGGCGGAATTGGTTGTGAAGTATTGAAGAATCTTGTAATGTCTGGATTTTCCGACATTGAAATCGTAAGTATAAAACATTTGAAGCTTACAAAATTTCGACTAAAATTACAAATTTTCTGCATACAGATTGATTTGGATACAATTGATGTCAGCAATTTGAATCGACAGTTCTTGTTCCATAAGGAGCACGTTGGCAAGTCAAAAGCTGAAGTGGCGCGAGAAAGTGCTTTAGCTTTTAATCCAAATGTTCAAATTAAAGCATATCACGACAGCATTACCACGTGAGCAATAAATTTTTTTAAAAATCATTTTTCGCCTATTTCCATCCATACAACAGACTCTAAATATTGATTCGAATGATGGTTGATTCAATGCTGAGGTACTTTTAAATTCGTTCGATTGACTGAAGTGCCACTGATGACTAAGTGTCTCCATTCCAAGTGTCACTTCTCAATAATTAACGATTTCAACTTCTCATTAGACAAATAAATAACTCATTTTTATTTAAACAATCATATTCTGAAGCAACATCGTTGTTGGTACACATAGTCAGTGCAAATTAATTTTATTTTTTTTTATATTCGGTTAAGAACAAATTATGGCGTCGGCTTTTTTCAAAAGTTCAATTTGGTGTTGAATGCATTGGACAATCGCCAGGCTCGTAATCATGTAAACCGTATGTGTTTGACGGCCAACGTTCCGCTCATTGAAAGTGGCACAGCTGGCTACGATGGTCAAGTGGAGTTAATCAAAAAAGGTAAAACGCAGTGCTATGAATGCACACCAAAGCAAGCTCAAAAATCGTTCCCCGGTTGCACCATTCGAAACACGCCATCAGAGCCGATTCATTGCATTGTTTGGGCAAAACATTTGTTCAAGTAAGTTATGAATAAAATTTGCAACATTTTTCAAAACATACTGATGGTTTTTCGACAATCAATAGTCAACTCTTCGGCGAACATAACGAAGATGAAGACGTCGCACCTGATCGAGAAGATCCCGAAGCAGCTGGTGAAGCTGCAGGAGCTACAGCATTGGCAAATGAATCGAAAAATGATGTAATTTTTGCAATAACATTTATACATTACTTCTTTCCGACGGAATAAAATTAATTCTAAGCAATCATTGCAATTTTGTAATATAGGGAAATGTTGAGCGTATTAGCACTCGTCAATGGGCCCAAGATACAAAATACGATGTCGAAAAGATTTTCAACAAATTATTTTATGAAGATATTAAATATTTGCTGAGCATGTCTGATTTGTGGAAGAAGCGTACACCACCAACACCATTGAAATACGGTGATTTCGATGATGATGTCAATTCATCAACTGAATTTAACTTAACGGGAAGTATTCGTGAGCAAAAGGTGTGGACGTTACGTGAATGTCAAAGTGTTTTCGCAACCAGTTTGGCTGAACTAGAGAAGGAGTTCTCGAAGTTGGCAGTTGATGATCATTTGGTGTGGGACAAGGATGATAAAGCAGCCATGGATTTTGTGGCCTCTTGCGCAAATGTGCGAGCAAAAATATTCAATATACCACAAAAAAGTCGCTTTGAAATTAAATGTAAGATCAATCATCTCCAAGGATCATTCCATTCTTCTTATTCGGACTATAAATTTCAAGTTATGCTCGTTTTTTTCGTACTTTATTTTAGCAATGGCTGGCAATATTATTCCCGCGATTGCCACCACAAATGCAATCACCGCTGGTATCGTTGTTATGCGTGCATTCAACGTTCTTCAGCAGCAATATGAGCTGTGTCAATCGGTTTATGTTCGTTTACGTTTGAATCCACGAAATCAAATATTCGTGCCAGACCGCGGTAAGTGTAGTGAAAGAATTGATTTAAAAAAAAAATATTTTTGGTAACTATTAATGCATTTAATAAATTTACCCACAGAATTGATGGCACCAAATCCAAAGTGTATTGTGTGTTCTGACAAACCGCAAGTTGTTGTGAAAATCGATACGAATCGTGTTTCTATCAAACAGTTCCGAGATGAAGTCCTGGTAAAATCATTGAATATGATTGAACCGGATGTTATAACCGAAGGAAAAGGTTTGGTGCTGATTTCCTCGGAAGAAGGGGAAACGGATTGCAACAACAGCAAAAAGCTATCCGAATTGGACGTAGTGGATGGTTGCATTCTAAAAGTTGACGATTTTGTTCAACAATATGAGCTGACCGTCATCATTGCTCACAAGGAAGTCGAACGTGATGACGATTTGTTTGAAATTTTAGCCGATCCTGATTCTCTCAAAGCAGAAGCTCAAGCCGAGAAAAAAGAAGAAGAAACTCCAAAAGAACAAGATAATGGTGAACCGAAAGCAAAAAAAGCTCGTCATGAACCAAAAGAAGATAGTGACGATGACTTATGCATTGTTGAAGATAATGAAAATGATGCAAATCGCCCAACTACATCTGCTGCTGGATCAGCTGATCAAAATTCACAATCAAAACAGCGAATAATATCGTCGTCATCTACAGCAGTGGAAAAAACAACAAAAACAACTACAACATCCATTGATGATGACGATGACATATGCATTTTGGAAGACGAAAATCAAAAAGATGCACCAAGCACTTCATCTGAAAACCGTAACAAACGTCCCCGCGTAGAGAAAAAGAAAGAGGATGACGATTTCATCGTCATTGACAGTGATTAAAATGTTCCATCAAAGTAACTACACATAGGGAGTGGTTGAGTTTTTTGGTCTCCACACAAATTTTGTCCGAAAAAATAAATTTTATTTCAGATATCTTAATTTTGGATTATTTTTACGAAAAAAAAACCATTGTACCAAAAATCTCAATCATTCTTCCCTGTGTGTACGGAAATAATCCTTCAAATCGTTACTATTTTTCAAACATATAAAAATGTAACTTGAAACACACAAAAAGAAATAAAAAAAATCTTCTATTCATATATATATGATGTTATAACAACATCGTTGACACTTTCCAATTGAAATCTATTCTCAAAATGACTACATCTTCAAAGTCCGGGTAATAGGTAAGAAGTCGTCAAACTAGCGTTAGCTTTGCAATCGAACTCTAACGGTTTCCAATAATGTAATTGTTGAACAATCGATATAAACTACGAAAATGTCAAATAAAAGAGAAAACAACGGCATAAGCCACAATATTGTAGTTATGTTTGAGTGTTTTGCATCATTACTTTCATTGTAATTTTTTTTTTTTTGGAAAAATTGGTTTTGTTTTTTCGGGTGAATAATTTTGTGTTTATTCCAAAGTATTCTAAAAACATTATTTGAAATTGCGTCCTCAAACGAATTCCATTTTTTCTGTTCCAACGTGCGCTTTATCGCCTTAAAATTTACCATAAAGTTATGTTCTTTGTTGTAGTATTTCTAAACATCTGGTCCCTCTTTTAGTCATTCTTTTTCATTTAGATTCTTTTTCTTGTCATTCAATTGTTTTATTGCATTGCATAACAAGTTTCTAATAAATAATAAATCAAATATAAATGAATAAACCAGAGAGTGTATTTTCGCTGTTCAGCAGGCCTGAGCTGAATTCGCCTACTCAGATGCCTGAAGCGATATTTTATTTAATGCACTCACGGTTAAAAATGATCATAGCTAGCTGAGAATCATCTTAGTATAATTGATAAACAGTATAGATCTTTACTAGCAATGAAAATGTTGCACCGTAAATGCGTTAAAATTTAGTCTCAGGGGCCAACAAATTCAGCTCAGGTCTACTCAGTAGTAAATATGCACTCTCTCGAGTAAACACAACGTTCTGGGAATAAATAGCAGAATTTTCCTATATCCGTTTTGTTTGTCGGATACATCGGGGTAGCTTATTTACTTGATTGAATCGGCAAAATTTTCATACAAACTATGACGGTTGTTGCACTTTATAGGTGTGCCGTGTGCTTCATTTCAACTGTGTAATGTTCAGTTCTTTCAATTTCAATGCATTTCAGCGGTGTTTGCGCCTAGAATAAGATCTTATTTGTCAAACTACTTGCATTGCCAAATTTTAACTAATCATTTTTATTTAATTCAAACGGAAATTGTGTCTATAATTTGCAAATAAAATGCAAACGTCTATTTGCAAAACTTTATTTTCTATTTCGATTTCTATCGATGTACTTGAGAAAATATATAATTTTTTTTTGATAGAAAACATGAATCATCTCTTTTTGGTAAGAAATACGTAGGTTGCTGCTTAAGTTTCTGGCCTAACCTAGTTCTAGTGTTTTCCGAAGCAAAACTTTGGGTCAGTCAAAAAGTTTGACCTTTTTTAAGCTAAGTTTCCTCAGACGTCAACTGTTGATTCACTACGGATCGTGGTGTTTTATGAGCTTGAATATTTCAATTTGATGAAAAAATAGAATTTTTCCGCAAACATTTTAGTGCAATGATTTTTTCCGATTTTTGAGAGGGACTAACTCAACAAGAGTGCCGTGATAGCCTCAAATTCGCTTTGGGTGATAAAACTCGGTCCATTCCAAGTATTTAGAGGTGATATAACGATTTTAAATGTTGACGAAGCTCACTCAAAAATGAGTCCGCAGGAAAGTCGTAAAATATCAGCTGTAACGCCGGAACACATTGATGCTGTGCGAAACCTTAAGGTGGAATATTCTCATACGACTTATAGTGAGATTGGGGCATCCTTTGGCATTAGTATGACATGCATGAGGTCAATATTACATGTGGTTTTAGTGACGTAAATGCCTTTCACATGTCAAAACCTCCAAATATGTTTTCAACCAAAAAAAAGAGTTTTGGACAAAAATAGGCCTACAAACTCTCAATAATGCAATTTTGATAGGCTGAAAAACCCTCAATCGTCACTAGAGATTACAAAATTATCATTTATGAGTATAGCATGTCATCCCAGAAGGTTTTAGTGATAGTATCGTGTTTGAAAATAACAGAAAATTTTCCTTATTTCTGAAAAAACAGACGATTTTCGCAAATTGCAATGCTTCGTTCTGGGAAAAAATGATTTACATGACTGTTATTATACTTTGGAATTGTAGTGCCATGAATTCTGAATAAAGCGGACATTTTTGGAATGAAAATATTCAGAAAATGGGCCAAAAACTGGGAACTATCTGTCACTTCATGAATTTTCACCTTTTGACATGCCTTCATTCAATCGAATATTTGCAGGCCCAAAATATAAAATAATGGTTTCGTTAGCCAGAAATTATTAAATTGAGGATAAACGAAGTTTTTTAGGTGGTTAACAACAGAATAATCAATTTTTCCCATATCGAAAAATGAAGTTTATTGTTGAAATTTACGATTTTTCCAGGTATCCCTTGGAAAGGAGGCTTAGACACACCCAGTAATGTAAAACAATCCCTGCTATAGTGTTTTTTAGCCTAAAAAATGTCAACATTTCCGATGGAATCGTCAGATTGCATCTGAAAACACTAGAAATAGGTTAGGCCAGAAACTTATGCAGCAACCCTCGTATTATTGATAACAATTGTTTTTTTTTCTTTTCTGTATAACTTAAATAATACACACCTTTAACGTTATTACAAAAATTAAGATTTTCTTTTTGTCGCCTATGTGTTCTAAAGGATGTATTCATTTGTGTTTTTTTGTCTTTCAAAATTTGCGTGTTTGATGTACAGCACTGCATAATTTATGTTTAATGTAACTTTATGAATTGATTGCAAGAAAATGTTTCATGTCGTAGAAATAAAGCAACAAAAACATAAGTAATGGAAATGCATAGTGCTTTGAGATAGAATTAACCTCGTCTACTTTGAGAGTATCTTCATTGCAAACATAGTTCGGACCAATTTTTACCTTGGTCCTACAGTTCATTAATAATGAACTATATGGGGAGAAATGCTTCACAATTTTCGTTTTGTTTACCTTACTATTTATAATTCATATTTACAAACATATAGATTTTTGTTGTTATTTTTGTTTTCTTTTCTTTTTTTTTATTCAAATTTTAACCTTTTGTTCTTCATTCTACTAGAAAAGGCACTTTTCTTCTAAATACTTGTGTTTTTTTTCTGGGTGACTTTGTATGTTCTGTTTTGTTTCATGTTCTTATGGTGCAATAACTAGTGTTTAAGGTTGGTGGTTTGCATGATGACAACACTCTTTTGGTAAATCGACTGATTCAAATGAGATTTGTTGTTGTTGTTGTTGTTGTTGTTGTTGTTGTAACATTTAACAATAATATACATTATTCCGTTGACCTTTTCATGGTTTGCAATACATATTTTATGTACACATTTTTGCAGTTGATTTTACAATGTCTTCAAATCAATGTAATGTTTTCTTGCGTTCTCTAACGCGTTTTTAGATTTGTTACCTATAGCATAATGACAACAGTATGTATGTGTTAATTTGTAGTCAATGGCTGGCTTTTCGTTCTAAGATGTGTATGAAACTAAGTGTTACTCGAAAGAATTCCTCCTCCTGCGATGATCTTTGATGTCATTATTCGTTTATTGAGCCTATTGATTTGGTTTTTGACAACGACGACGCTTTGGCACACCATGTGGAGTAGAATTTATGCTCTTATCACCTGCAAACGTGTTGTATACCAATTTTCTCATATCGGGAGAGTTTCGTTTTCTGTGCGGTGTTATCGATCGTGTTGAATTCCAGTCGATTTGTGTCAGTGATCCGTATCGATAGAAAATTTTCAAATCGATATTACGATTTGTGCTCGTCAAAATTGTTGTATCATTTTTCGAAAAACCGTACAGATTATCTTCGCCATCGCTGTCATCGTCTAGATAATCAAATTGCTCGCCAATGTACGCTTGCGGTTTGTCGATGACAGTCTTCTGATATATGACAGGATCTCCTAAACTGGTAGAGATCACATGTTGACAGGAGGAATCTGTAACGCAATGTAGCAACAAAACAATGAAAAAAGGTGACATTTTAGTTCATGTTCAAATATTCAATCTATGTTATCGATATCGATGACATTTTCTCTGTCCGCTCAATACAATAAAAATATTTAATAAAAATAAAACGCACCCTCTTGATTACTATGATCGATGAATTTTTCGTTATTATTGTCAATGTCATCCAATTTCCCATGATCGATGAATCTTCCATTCAGATCATTTGTGATGGAGCTGTTTGATTCAATGCTTATTGAGTGGGTACACTGATCTGATACTTCGGATGTGCCACCGATTCCACTTGAACTTTTACTATATCCTAACTCACTCGTAGTGCTTTCCACTAATGAATCTGTGCTGGCAACTGATACGCACTTTGGATTCGATCGTCCACTTCGTTTTTTCTGAATGTAAAATCATTGTAACATAACGTATTAACGCAAAACATTCTCGATTTTCTCCAATTTCATAATAATGTAATAAATATGGAGGAATCTACATACCCGTGCTGGTCCGGTCCGTCCATCAGCAAGGCTTGATGCAGAACGCTGCTTCTGTCTCGGTTCCGTGTTCGTTGTAAATAAAATGTTGCTTGTTGAGTCGATTTTCGAGAAGCTAAGCCAATCATGTACGAGTATTTCCTGTGATATTAAATGATGCAATCAATTTGCGTTCATCTCAAAATAATCTCGTTTACTGTGAACACTTACCGATAGCTTGATTCTTTTTTCAGGTGATACTGTCAAAAGTCGTCGAATCAGGTCTTTGACCGAATCACTGAGCGATATCCATCGTTCATTATGGGAATTGATTTGCCCACTTTTTATACGACTTATAATTTTGTCCTTGCTGATTTGGCTGTTGTCATCGATATCGTTGTGCCGACGGAATGGCATGCTGTCACACAACAATGCATATAAAATGACACCCAACGACCACAAATCACAAGATTCAGTATATTTTTTGTTTGACAGAATTTCGGGAGCTGCATAGTCCAGCGTATAGCAGTCGCCTTCCATTTCTTTGTCTTCATCGTTTATTTTGCAGGCGAAGCCAAAGTCCAAAATTTTGATGTTTGATCTGCTCGTATTTTCACTGGTGAACCTAATATTTTCCAGTTTCAAATCTCGGTGCGCAATGTTATGTGAGTGCATGTGTGTGACAGCGTGTAGAATTTCCTTGAAAATACCACGAACTTCAAATTCATCCAATGGCTGTTCCCGAGCGTACTTGAAAAGCTCCTTACCGGCAAGCCATTCAGTAATGATATAAGTGAATGCGTCATCTTCTATCACTTCAACAATACTGACGATATTCGGGTGTCCATGGCATAGTTTCAGTGCATCAATTTCAGCGGCCACATTTTGATTTTTGCGCAAAATTTTCACCGCATACTCTTTATCCGTATTGTTGTTGATACATTTCATACATATTGAGAAGGAACCATCACCGATAGGTTGATCACTTTCAAATGTGTATTTCTTAAAAAATGACCCATTCTGTGGAACCAATACAAAATCAATCGTTATATATGTGTCTCAGTCTCTGAATTAAAAATTTAATCGTGAATTCAGAACTATTATACTATACCTTTTGATTGTAATCAATGACTTCTTCAATGCTTGGCTTCGGATCCAAATTTGTCAAGTCTTGATGGTCAAGAAGATCGGGCGCAACAAACGAAAAACCTTAGTTTGTGAGAAAAAAAATTGAATATGTAAATCAATATCTTTTCACTTTACAGTTATTCCACTCTTTTATTCATACCTCTGAACAAGCGTTCGTAATTGGGAGGTGGCTTGCATGGCTGATCAACTACAGGCATTTTGGTAAAGTCGTCACTGAAATTGCTTGTATCCAACCGATGTTGGATATTTGGTTTGAATGGAGCATTGATTTCCTTTTTCGCCAGTTTCACCCAATCAATTCCTTTGAAGAAGCGATGAGCCTTGATCTCATCTGGTCCTGTTGGCCCAGTACCTACAGACAAAGTTGATCAGTAATTAAATTGCATTTATACCGAAAAGAAAATCCTTGGGAATTCTGATCTACTACAGCAGTCATTTCGTGCGAATAGCCAGAGCTACGTTGACACCTCTTACACTCGAAATTAAAGAGCGCAGATGTGTTGCGTGACTGAAATGGTCTTTGGTGATATATAGGAGTGGGAGTGCGAATAGGAAATTTCTTGCCAATTTTTGCTCATTCCGATCACTGACTGGTTCCGTTTGATAGCCAATTAGTGTGCGTAGATATATAATTTACAAGTCAACTTACCGAGACGCTTTGATGGTTCCTTGTTCAACAATCTTGTTATCAGATCACTAGCGGCCTCGCGAATGATCTCAGGCATTGGAGGACTTGCTTTAAGGATTCTCTTCGATATTTCGTTTTGCTTATTTGGATCGCCGTCAATGGTGAAAGGTGATGCGCCGGTCAATAGCTCATAACAAAGTACTCCAACAGACCACCAGTCGACACTAACATCATGTCCATTTTTACCACCGCGCACCACTTCAGGAGCCATGTACTCCATTGTGCCGCAAAAACTATACGATCTGCCATTTGATTCTTTGGTGAGCTCTTTCGATAGCCCGAAATCGGTGACGACTATGTGGCCATCGGAATCAAGTAAAATATTTTCTAATTTTATATCCCTGTAGATAATCCCTAATTTGTGAAGTTGTTCAATTGCTATCACAATTTCGGCTATGAAAATTTGCACTTCCTCTTCCGTAAAGTGATCGCGCTTATATAGATGAGTGAACAGTTCACCACCACTCACATAATCTGTAATTAAAACCGAAAATACCATAAAATCGTATTTGAACATATGCAGATTTGTGTCATTCACAGATTAACGCATTAATCATTGAATAGAACCTACCTAATACTAAGTAGAGTTTCGATTCGGTTTGAAAGGCGTAATGCATTGACACCAGAAACGGACTTCGTCCTATTGCTTCAAGCACCTGTACGAGTAAAGTAATTTTTCCATTGTGGCATTCTTATAATTTCCTTCTAAATATTGCGATGGATATATTAGTTTACCTGACGCTCCGTTTTCGTATGCTCAGCAGTTTTTACTTTTTGTACTATTGCTGATTTCTTCAAGATTTTCATGGCATACAGCTGGCCATCATCTTTGCCACCTTTCTTTCGCACAAGGAAGACAATTCCATAGGCTAAATTAGTACGAAAATAGCATAAAAAAAATTAAGACAACTTCAAATGCGGACAAAAATCTATCTGCTCTACCAGTGGATTTTAGTTTTGGAACATTATTCTATTTTTTTAAAGGTGAAAATATTTTCACAATAAATAAATAATTCTTTCTGTATATTTACCTCCTGTTCCCAAAACTTGGATGAGCTCAAAGTGTGACAAATTGACTTTATCACTTTCGCGCAGATTTGCTGCAAATAAAATTAATCTAAAATATTAGCAATGGTGTGCAATGCATAGTTGCAATCTTTCTTAGCCTAAATTTATACAAATAGGTCATTTTCAATGCCGTTATAAGTAATTTTCTTTGACGCATTGTTGTTGTTCTCTAGCATTTCATTTGCGAATTCACGCGTGAAAGGTTTTCCATCTTCTTGAAAAACGACTTTTACTTTACGTTTGCATAATATAAATGAAAATAAGTGAAACAACAACAGATCTGTAAGTATGGGATATTCCATGTCATTGTATATGTGTGAAACATATCGCAGAAATGAGATTTTGTTTCGATTTATCGAAGAGTGAGCAGTGATAGTAAATTTTCGTTTCCGATTAACACGCTGCTTGTAATATGTTCTGCGCATTATTACGAGAATAAAAAGAGTAAGAAAAAAGAATTGTGAGTTATGCCGTTAAATTACGCACTCCGTTCCACGTGCCATAGACTAAAGTTTTGGAAATTGGCAACTACCAAAATTAAATTCACAATAAAAATCTCAAACCCAGAATATGATGGAATGGATGATTAAAATAATCATTCAGATCGAGTCATGGGTGTGATATAGTGGCAATGCCGGTTTATTTTAGCCACTGTCCTAAGGTATATGTAAACATTGTGTTGCTTCAACATATGATACACCACTGATTTTCATACAAACTATGATTCAATGTATTCAGTCGTATGTAGGTCAAATGTAAACCAATACGTTGAAGACACTCTCATACTTTAGTTGTGTATACGTACACACATTCACACGTACACATACAAGCTCACACAGACAACTTGGTTTGTGAACGAATTAAAATGGAGAGGAAAGAAAAATCAACGATTTACACATACACTGCGACACACTCGCTCACTTACTCGTAAACCGACATGTAAGATGAGAAAAGGAGGAAAAGGTAGTGCGTTCCCGTTGCGGCAACGCTAATGAAAAATAATTTAAATTCATTTTCGAGTACGGTACATTTAGAGGAATTCTCTTTTCATTCGAATCGGAGTTCGCGTACAGACAAGAATGTACAGTTATCTCTTCGACCATTCCAAGACAATGAAAGCAAAGGTGTCGTGTGTTTAATTGTTATGTTGTAATGAACAATTTAATGGCGAAATTCTCAAATTGAAACAATTGTATTAAACACAGCGAATAAGATTATTCGGAAGGTATTGCATACTTTGAATAGAATAAAGATTTGATTGAGGAATGTGCTTAAAATGGACATGCAAGCAAGAATGAGGCATTTATTGACTATTTCCAATACTCCTTCACAATATTGTCTACGAAATGGTTCCCTCGACATTTGTCCAACATTTTATTGTGACAATTCGTAACTGCATCAAACGCATTCCATGTTCAAATATAACATGATTGTTCACCGAGTCGTGAAAAACCTTCGATTTAGATGTGACAAATCTTTCAAAAGTAATAGCACTAAATTGATGATTGCTTTGTTTACCTTGCGGCCGGATTGTTGATGCTTGTTCGATCTCTTTAGCAAGCGCTTCGCTGCTTGTAATCTTTTCATTGGACTTATTGCTACGTGTGTGTGTATGTTTGTTATCCGCTATTGAACTGCTGACTTGGTCACTTTTTTTACCACGATACCCTTGATGGTTGTGATTGCCACCTTTGTGGCCCTTTCTAGATTCGTATCTGTAGATCCACACAGATTGATTGGTTAATTGAAAATAAAATTTTCTCTTTAAAAGTATCCGGTCTTGACTGATTGCTTACCTCTCTTCATCGTCTTCTTCCTCTTCATTTGCTCCATCATCGTCATCTGTGATGTCAACAATTTCATCTGAAGCCCGTTTGCTATGCTGTCCGTTGCTTTTTGTCATAGATAAACTTCCTGTGAGGACGAAGTAGTTAAAATGGTTCTTTCTTGAAATAATCAACCAAACTCTAAGACATTTCTGTTTATTTTACCGTCGTTAGCCTGGTTGTGCGCATTGTTTGGGCTTGTTGTGTCTTCGTCATCATCATCTTCATCGGATATTACGATTGTATGTTGAACTGCATTCGAACTGCTTTCGACTTGGTTCCGATACGTACGGTTACGAGAGCTCTGTTTGCTCTGTTTGCTTTTGCTTTCACCGGTTGAGCTCATATTTTCGCGATCATAGTTTGATAGGTAATGGTCGTAATTTCTGTTGTTCGTGCTGATATCGCGCGAAATTTCAAGTAATTCCATCGGCCTATTTAGATAATTTGAATCGCCATTGGTTTGCTGTGCGGTCGCCATGTTCCGTGGCGGTTGATTTCGGTAGTGTTGAATCCATTCGTTTTGTAAATTTCGATTCGATTTTGTTGATTCGCATATATTTTCTTCGAAAAAACCACTCTCATGATCATGTTTTTTCTTAACTCCCATTTTTAGCATTTTCGCAATTTTAACGAAAACAAACACGTTCGTTTTTTTTTTTTTAGTTTAACAAGTTTCCAATTGTCGGCTTTTTGTGCGATATTGTTCCAACATTTAAAAGTAATTCCCGAAATAGATGAAAAATAATTTGAATACTATTTCAAATTGATCAGCACAAAAGACCATAGATTCACTTCAGAACAAAAGTATTAAATATATTGGAGAAAATAAAAGGGGTAAAAAAAAACAGAACGCGATTATTGTTTGTGTTGATCTGATCTTAAACGAAAACAAAACCAAAAATGGATCAGACCACTTATCACAACATCGTTACACTGTAGTGGAATTTAGGTGCCGTTATTCAACATTGTTTCCTTTTCCTCACTTTTTTACTGAAATGTTTCTGTGTTGGAATTGTTTCTTTTTTCACTTTTATTTGGCCGCGTACACAATTTTTTGAATACTACTGATGTTTCCACTGCAAGAGTACATTGCGCTTTCAATTGTTCTGGATCGGCTTTAATCGATCGGTGCTAGATAAACACTACCTGTAAAAAAGATATCATTTGATTAGTAAGCTAATTAATTAATACTATGTATTATTCGAAAATTTGTTATTTTCAAACATTTCTGTACGAAAAAACAAAGAATATTTTGGCGTTGGAATGCAAGAACTGACTGGACCTGTGTTTCGTTTTCGATCGGTGTATGTAGTGTTGATAGAAAAAATTGAAATTCAAGGCGCATCGCATTGCGTGTGATACAAATTGAAGTCAACAGAGTAACGCAAACTGTTGTAAACGCCACTCGAGCAGACACATAGCTGAATTTTACACTCACAGCCGCAGTGACAATCACACAAACAGACGTTCAACTCATATTTAGGATACGACACAAGTAAACATTACGTTTTTACTATGCGCTGCAATTTACATACACACATTGAAGTCATATTATTTCATATTTTGCTTGATTTGAGACTTTTTCACAGTTTCTGCTTCGGTAAACTATTAATCTATTCATTCGTTACGTAAATACGTTTTTCATTTATATATCAAAGATAATTTAAATTGCTGAACGCTTCCGATCGGTCAAAGCATCGGTGCAATCAATGCAATCCACTTTCACTTGATGCCAAATTGCATAGGATAGGACACAAATGAACAAAGACTGACACTGATATACCACTGACAAGATGGTTGAAAACGAAATACGTTCGATGATATGGACTACGGACACTTTTGGCAATGGCACATGTTTCAAGTCAATGTTTAGAGTCGACTTTTGAATTTCATGTTGTGAAACAAAGTTCAGAGCACACAGAAATTGGCCAGCTTGTGGCAGTCAATCGAAGTTGAACGAAATGAACACACATTTCACATACGAAAAAAAAAAATTCGTATGATTGCTACTATTTACGACTAATGTGTCGCGCTCGCCCTACGGAGAAGAGAAAAACTGCTTATAAAAGTGCTGTGGTACACTTAATGCGTTGTCTTAATGTGGTGTACGGTTGTTGCGCTCATGTAACAGTATAATTCATAATCACATTTTCTTGTATTTTGCTTTCATTTCTTTGCTCATCGCACACACGAAAACTGAACAATCGTGCACGTCTTCGTCTCATTATCGCAATCCTCTGCCTCTCTTTCTCTCGCTCTCTCTCTCTCTTTCTCTCTCTCTGTCTCTGCCGTCTCAATGTTCTATGTGAGCTTCTGTGTCTGTCTCTTTGTGATTTCGTTTTCTATGTACAAAATTGACGATACTTGGGTTTGCTTGAATTTGTTCAAAGCTTCTAAAAACACATGTACACCCATACTCATACGATCAAATTAGCTAAATGCGTTCATTCGTAAACATATGATGAATGATTATTTTTCTTTTAATTTTGCGCCATGAATCTTTTTCGATATCACTCGTTCGAACAATGCACCGACAATTTTTAAGCTGAATACCACACGAGCGTTTAGCTCGTGTGATTTTATCACTGTATTTGTCACAAATATGATCACGGCGACACACTTTTTTCCCGTTTTGAGCAAAAGAAATTAATGTGTTGAACGAAAAAAGGGAATGTTGGCTCAATGATGAGCTAAAATTACTTACAATGCGATTTCATAAAACGAATCAAGTAATTTTCAACTTTCCTGTCTTACGAGTTCTGAGGTAGAGTGCAGAAATACACACAAAATATTCACATCTGTCAATGAATCTTATTCTGATTCTAATTTCGAATGAAATATTGACAATTCTCTGCTTTCGAAATGATAAACCGTAGACTGACATGCAGATTGTGTACATAGGATCGATTTGAAGTTTCACTCTCACACAAACGTATTTTTGCTATACAACCCGTCACAATGCCACACAGCCTCCAACACACACGCATACACTAACACACACGTACACACATGCACACATACTCATGCTCCCTGTCTCACACAATTGTCTCAAAATCATAAACAATTCGCATTAACTGTAATCAAATTAATATTTGTACGAAAAGAATGAATTCAAATTATTACAAAATATGCTGCTCAAGCACTTTTTTGGCCTTTATTGAACGAAGGTGACGATTTTTGTGGAAAATCGAAATGATGTGGTGTTTGTATGAGACCGAGCGACTAATTGTACTTTTCATTTGTATTGGTGTACTTTTTGACGTTGACGTTGTCGTGGCAAAAATTTTCTGTCCGTATGACATGCTACACTTACAGACGAACAAATACTTTCACGTGTAATTTACCAAAGACATGCTTACGTGCATCTGATTTCTCAAACGGTTCAATCAATAGAGGCCAATCGTGTATTATATATTGGTTGATTAAAATTGTATTTTGCTTGTCATTCCACTGACACTCGTCTGTGAGTGCGAGTGCGTGTGGGTGAATTTATATGTGCGAACGGTGTTTTCAAGCGATCATCTCTAAATAATACTGTTGTTGAATATTTCGCTCGATACTCACGGCAGTTTTAGGAGTACTGCTTGTTTTACAATGTAAAAAAGATAAAAGCCCATGTTTGTTATAAAAACACGACTTTATTAACGAATAGCCTCGAACATACTTTCTTCATTCTATTCGTTGCAAATCTTTGTCGATTCAAATGGTCGAAATTTTAGCTTGACAATTACACTCGTTCATAAACTGTTATATATTTTAACAAGAAACTAGATTGAAAACGCTTTTTTAACACTTCATTCCATCGATTCAAAAATGAAATCATCAAATCGGCAAACATTCGAATATTTGTATTGACACAATTATTTGAATATCGAAATTCGTTACATAGTATTTCATTGCTAAAATAATAAATCTCAAATTATTTGGTTTTAGGCCTCTGTATCAACCTAATGAAAATGAAATATGACAATGAATTTCAGTTCACACAAATGTCGTAATCGTAATGAATCGATAAAAATCGTTCCAAAGTCAATATTGTGACGAAATCAAGAGTTTTCATGTTTATAAACATATTTCGCATATCACAAAGGAATAAAGCAATGAATCACAGCAGTCAGCACATCAGAGCGATACTAAACACAAATGCATCGATTGCAGAATTGAATGAATCTTTTTGTAGCGCTTGGAACAATGGCTGAGGACAAATAATATTATGTGTGCATGAAAATCGACCAAATTCTAACAACAATGGTGTTGCAGTTGACAAATAATATATGAAATGACTTCTGACTCAAAACTTCATAAATATTTAATGTTCGAAGTTCAATAGACAAATTTATTTAATTTTCCAATTGCTAATTGAGCGGTTTTTTAGACGATAACCTAGAATCCCATGAAGATAATGCAGATGAACATTGAATTCTCAAATTCGTCGGTTCCATTGACACATTGGCATTTGTACCCAATAGCTACCGTAATGATTTATATAAGAAGTAAATATTAACCGTTTTTACTGATACTTGAAGGCATCGCAATAGCAAAATATGCATACAGTTTCTTTCTTTTCAGTTGGGATATTTTGGAATTAGATGTAAGAACCAAAATTTCTGCTTTCGTTTTTTCATAAATTTACAGAGGATAAATACCACCAATGGGTTTTTTTCTGTCTAATTTGACGTGTGATTTAAAGTAAATTTTCCGACACCGTTTGCTTTGCTTCTTTACTCGATCGTAAATATTATTGCCTAATAATGAAATAAACAGCAAGCATTATTTGCGCGATACTCACAACATGGTGAAAAATTCAACAACAATTTATGGAAAAAAATTAAAAGTCTCCAACACCAAATAAAAATATGATGCACTTCACTAAACTAAATATTTTCGGTCTCCTACAACGAGGAATAAATCAAAATTTTGTTCACTATTTCTTGTGCGATTCGCAAGAACTGTACTCATTTTTCTGGTTGATTTGTTTTGCTTTGTTTTTGTTTTGGTTTTAACATTGGATTAGTGTAATATTTTCTTTCATTTACACAAAAATGGCCGTCGCCGCTGCGATCGTTTGTATTGAAAGTCACTTACTTGGAAATGAACGGGGCGACTAAATGAATTCAGGATAAGAAGAAGAAGTGAAATCGTCGAAAAAACATTGTAAAAACAATGCATACATTTACACTCTTTCACATTTGCAACGGCTTGGGTGATGTGTTGGTTTCATGCAAACACTTTCGTCTCACTAATAACCATTTTAATATGAAGTACACACAGTCTGCGATTGGTTCGGTGTGTATCGTACACATGAATGCTCCAATTCACATACACACGCAACAGCATACGCACATACACATAGAATCAGAGCGCATATCTAAAGAAGTGTGGTGTGCGTTGCAGGTTTGACCATGTTCGCTTCATACGTCAAATTAAATGAAACAAAAAATTGCTTATGTCAGATTTTAAACAAAGACAAATAAAACAAATATGAAACATGGAAAAAGATTATATGAATTCAGCAGAACAAGATATGGTCTTGATAGTTAATTATTAGCGATTCTTTTCAACGCATTCGATATGAAATACATGGAAAACTCAAAAGGTGCATTTGTTTTGAATGCCATTTTGCGAAAACCCCTATTATACTTATTGTTCATCATTTGCAAACTCATTTTACACCGTTCTTGTGCTATCCGAAATAATATTGCTCTCGATTTCATTTCAAAAGTAAACACATCAAAATTCAAACCAGATATTTTCAAGGAGCACCTATCACTGGTTGCTTTGCAGAAGCAAATTATCCGAAAGGAATGTATTATTTTTTGAACAAAAATAACCAATACTTTTTGAAAAAATTAAATATGACTAATTTACAAGTAACATCAATTAAATCGTACCGTAAAAGAATGCCACAAAATTGGACTAAAATAATAAAGTGAACATTTTGAAGTTAAACTAACGAAATCTTTCGAATGATATTATGTTGACAACTGGAAGTGTGATGCAACAGCGACCTCACAACTCGAAATGCTCATTTTGTAACTTCTGGAATATTCCCTTTTCCAGTCATCAAAAGCTCACAACAGATGGCGTCCATACATTTTGATGAAACCAACATGCGAAACAGTTTTTTTTCATTCAAGTGAAGAGCATATCCAATGGTTTAGCTAGATGAGATCATCAGAATTTCGATTTTCAATGATATCGCAAGGTTGATTCATGTAAAAATTCCTTGAAACTTATTTCTGAACACATCCATTGTAAACGATGTAATATGAATGAATTTAACCCATTTAAGTCATGGTGTATCGAAAACGTAAAATGCCGGTTTTCCGCTTCTATAGGTTTTCAGGAATGAATACCTGAGAGATAATGAAGTAAAATGATACATCTAATCACTGCTTCTTACACATAATCGTAAATACCATTTTTTGTCTTGAACCAGGACGTCAACGAGGTATGACAGCATTCAGATGGGACAGAATTTTACACTTCCGAAATTGAGTTCAATTCTCAAACATTCTTTCGTCTTTGAAATTTTAAAAAGAATTAAAACGAGTGTTTAGTTTTCTTCGTACACTAATAGTAAATTCTACTAATAGAACTATTTACGACTGGGCCAACTAATGACCCAACTAATGTTGCACACAGAAGCAGAGGCTATATGTGATTCAAAATAATACGGATGACATGTATCAGTAGATGAAATTAACAGGATCTTCTTCCTGTTTTTATTGTCAAAGACGTTTGTTGAATATAGTTTTTGATTTGATTTTACGATTTTCCTCTTTAACAAATTGTTATTAAGAATCGCAATGTCATCTAAGTCTACATAAGAATTTTACCTGACGAATGGCACGATGATGCAGCGGTGACATCTAAAAATCGAAAATGATAAAATGGACATTCGTCTTTATTTTCATTTCATAGAACGAAGATATTGTTCTAGAAGTTATTTCACATCAAAACAAATTAGAGGCCTATTTGTGTTCTGTGATATAAAAATGAATTTTACAATAAGAAGAGGAAGAAGAAGTTCTAGGCTAAGTTTAGTTGAGGGGGAAATCACTAAAAAGTAATTTCTATTTGACAAACAATTTTTAGGTAATTCGTTGAACAAAAAGTAATTTTAAAAGTAGTTTTTCGACCAAAAATTACTTTACTTTATTCGATAAATTACTTGTCAAAAATATATTTTCTTATGAAAAAAAGTAATTTGTAATTCTTTAAAAAAAAAAATTAATAGTGGAAGTAATTTGTGAACCGAAAAAGTAATTTTTTAGAGTGATTTGCCCCTAATTTTAGTCCCTGGTGCATATTTAAAAAAAAGTGAAGTACATTTCAGATGCAATATATGTTCGCAAATTTGAGCCAGGGCATATTTTAAGCGGTAGTTCTACCGGATTCCGGTAGTTCTAAATTCTAATCCGGTAGTTCTCAACGAAAAATCCGGTTGTTGAAAATTAACATCTGTACATTTTGCTTCTAACGATGCTAAAAATGTTCAATAAAACCTAATTAAAGCCAATATTATTTGGGAGCAATATTATATCGTTCCTAATCATTTTGTGTTCAGTTTTGACGAGTATCTAAAATAATGGAGACTGCAAAAATGAACATGGGTATAAAGTGAAACGTCTGCTGGAAAGAAATCGAAACAATTTGTTTACAAAAATGATGAAATATATTTCGGAAATATTCGCCGAGTTACTGTACTGCTGTCGAACGCTTTGCAATGCTCAACGAACAAGATACGAAAAAATAATGGGATACTGGAGATCGCAATTCAGTCGGTGTCGAATTTTAATACGATGCCCATGACATTGATAATTGAATTATTGTGACAAATACAATACATTGAAAATAATGAGTGCACCAGAGAAGTGAAAAGCCAAATGTGAGTGGGTTTTAATGGGAGAAAATTTAGAATTGTAACGAAGCTCATGCTGAGCGTAGTGATCGCTCAACACGACCAAATTGACCTTAAATAGGTGTATTAAATTGCAATCTGCGTCATGGTATAAAAATCCATACATTAATTAATAAAATAGAAAATTATTGGACAAAACCAAAAGCTATTTGAATGGGTATGCCCGTGGCCAAAGCAAATTTTTCGAATACATGTGTACCCTGCCTATAATTTGCCGCTATTTCATCTTTTTTTACTTATCCGGTAGTTCCGAAAATCCCTTAACCCTCTAGTGCATGCACCCATCTTTATACGGGGAACATTTTAACGCCTGTATAACGTAAACTGTACGTCGGATCACATTTATTCAAAGGGCATTTTTGTTTTTCAAGGTGTCTTCTATAATTTTGTCCTTTACACCATTAGTCTACATCAAGCGGTTGTCGTGTTATAAACAAGAATGTGTACGAAAACGAAAATTGGACAGAATAAGTTATTCCCTTTCAAAATTAGACATATTTTCGACACTTTTAAACAATGGATTTGATTGTTCTCTGATTTATGTCAATCGCATTTCCTGACTAAACCGTGAGGAATCCACGTTTATGAATATTTTTTTCAATTATCTATGCCCAAAAATCAATCAAGTAACAGTACTCCCAGCCTTGGGAAAAATTTATGCACTAGAGGGTTAAAATATGCTCTGATTTGAACAATACAATTATAATTTATGAAAAATTCCACATGAATAAAATAACTTACATTAGATTCGTTAATCGATTCAAGTTATTTCTAATATATCGTAAACCATCCAATTGAACGAATAGACTAATTTTCTGCAAAACTTTGAAGGGTAACTGTGTTTTTTTATATCATATTTGAGAAGAACACGAAAAAATCTTCCGATACGAATATATGACTTATTTGTATTTTTTTTAGAACAGTGGTTTATTTTGAGACTACGTTACAATTAGAACTATGTTACAATTTGGATGGTTTACGATATACAAAAAAATGATAGAGTGTCGAACACCAAATATCATTTTCCAATCGACGTTTTGATTGACTGTAAGGGTTAAGAATTAGTTTAATATGGATTTTGAAAATAATGTATCAAATTTTCTATGTTAAGTGTTGCATGCAATAAATGCTTTTATGAAAAATTCAGTATTTGCTTTATTCTTAATTGTTTTGTTTTTGTTTACGGAACAAAACGAATTAAATGGCAAGTTGTGGTGAATGCATTCCTTCAATTTTACAACAATTTCACCCGTAACAATCAGGCTGATAATAATACCATACTGAGGGTGTAATATACAAAAACCCGATGTTGAAATTGGCGATATGGAAACAAATAAAGCGATGACGACCGTTTTCGATTAAACGAGAAGTGGGGACGAAATAAGATAATTTGGCTGTGTGTTGCAGAAATAAAAGCATTAAATGTAGCGGAATTGTTGGAATTGCGATGAATATGTGTCTTGTGACATTTATGAAGAACAAAGCTCCGCCTATTTACGGTTGTAGCAACTCCTTTGGGTAAATTTCATGTGTTTTATTGTCGTCAGTAAAGTCTCGCAAGTCGATTTAGCTATTGAACCAAAAAATGAGTGTTGAACATTATACGATGCAATGACAAATCGTATTAATTAAATGGATTTATCTATGGATTTTACCAACCCTGCATCCGATCAATTGAAACACTGTCGAACTGAAGGTATTTTCGGGTTTTTAGTCTCTGGAAAATTGACTTGATGTGTGCAAAGAAGAGAGACCTATCCTTGCAAATCGTTCTGTTGCCTCACTCTATCTATCCATCTATCTATTTATCTGTCTCTCTCTCTCTCTCTCGCTCTACCTCTGTGATGAATAAATAATGTCAAAGATAAGAATACGTTTCTTGCAGCATAGCACATCTCATGCATAACAATGTATCTGAATCCTATCTCGATCCGGACTGTCACGCAGAAAATTGTATTTTCTGCGGACTTATTTGGTTTGTGTTCTTTTTTATTACATTCAAACGATTTGAATATCCTAACTATGCCGATAAGAATACGGTATGTTTACATTTGTTGATTCAGATCTCATTTAACTTTCAATTTTTGTTGGATGGGCCCGCCCTTGAAGCAATTGGATTGGCTTTGCCGTAGCGACGTCATGACAACCAAACGCCGCCCATCACCTTTTCGAGTGCGTGCGAGCCAAACGAAACAATCAAAACGCCACATACAACTGAACCACGGTAGACGTTCACCATCAATAAAAGTTACTGCACGCTATCAAATGGGGGAAAACGGGTAAACTACGAAAGAGGCTGAGAGTGGAAAAAGAGAAAAAGGAACAACCATCAATAGAACTCAACCATTTGTACAATGCATTTAATTTTTCGCAATTGAAAACAACAGAACAAAACAATATTAAGCATAGATTAACTGATCGCTTTTTGGTACAGTGGTGTCGTTGCTTTTTCATTTTTGAATTGACTCTTATGCGGTGGATGAATGCATAAATTTATTTTGGCCGCTGTAGTGCACAAGGCATCATCGAATCGACAACGCGAACGGTACGGTTTGTGAACGAAAATTGTGTGTCGAGTGATTTAAACAGTAAAATGCAATCAATGTGAATCTATTGAGTTTGTTTTTCTGAAGTGATTTTCTACTGATAAATTTCAGTGGTTTTCGCAATTTTGGATACAATTTCACGTATAATAGAAGTTTTGTTTGACCAAACAACTTGATTTTTTATCGGGGAAAATGTTTTAATCTTAACTTAGAGATAGAAAAAAAAAATAGTCTGATTGTGTTCATACCAGTGAATGGAAGGAAATTTAAAAAATCGATTGATTAGTTATCAATAAAAAGCAACACAGTCGAAAAAAACAAAATTTCATTTGAAATCTACATTCTCTATTAGTGAAAAGTGTTTAGTTATTTTTTTAAACTACAACTCGAATATACCGATGAAAATGTCATCACAAGATCCAGATATTGATATCAACGTCGTTTCAAGTCCAGAACATTCACCACAACCGGAATATAATACGACACGGATAAAATTTCAATCCGCAACATCAACAATTCCAACAACAATGTCAAATCGCGTCATGATTAATGCAATATCCGATTCATCGCGACTAAGTCCCGTCGAAATGCCAGCAGACAATAGTAAATTGTCAGCCAATTCGGGATATACCAGTTTTACTATATCCAACATTCTAAGTCGAAATGATCCTAAGAAAGATTTAACCACATCCCCCAATAATTTGTCGTTCATTGATGCTAACGGAGCCACAGTTCATGACGCTGCTATGATTTCAAGGTATGCCTATGTAATAATAATTATCAAATTGTAACCATTCTAATAGCTTTGAAATTTGTCAGAACATCAGTCATGTTCAACATACAAGACAGCGATTCAAACAGTTCGATGGTTCGAACTAACATCTAACACTTTTAAATGTACTTGCTCACTGCTGTTTCATACTTTCATATTTATGTCGTCTATTATCTATAAAAATCGAATAAAATTATTCAGAAAAATTGAAAGAAGAGTTAAAAAATAAATACAAGACGTCAAAACGTGAGTGTATTATAGCAATCAAAGAAGAAACTGATTGTGAAGAGTTCCGAGGGAGACACATCGTATTTGATCGGCTGTGATATGCTCAGAAAATGAACCAAATATTAAAGCATAAAGAATTGTGTCGTTTCCTGATAAAAACAACGACACTGATCATTTCATGTACTTTTCCATCAATATGCATAGAGAAAATCATATCTTGTCAGGCGCTATATTTCAGAGAATTCCAAATAACATAACTTTTGTGATGAGAACACTTATAGAGAAAGAAAACGTGAGAAAAAAAGAGAAACAAAACGGAAATGTTGTCATTTGCCGCAAGAAAAATCTTGTTAGCTTTGCAGACAAACAAAAGGGGCCCTGTGCATTTGATATTTAGCTCTGTTAAATTCTTTATTTCCATTGTTTGATTGTGGTTGTCGATGCCAAAGGCTAGCGCTACTTTCACTCCATAATAAGCCTCTGAAATAATCAACGCGAATTTTATGTCATTGAAAATTACGACAAAGTGCTTTGTTACTTTTTTTCATTCCTTTTTTACATTCTTTTTCACCTAATTAATGCACAAAACACTAACTGAAACCTTTAAAATGCAATGTTCTTTTTACATAACAACTAGTGCACAATCAAACCCCCGCACATCGCAACATTACTTGATAACTTGCATTATGGGTTTCCTATTTGAACAGAAAAAATAATGAGGAGATCAAACAGAGGAATTACTGTATGAATTCATTTTAATATCTTCCCTTGTGCAGAGAAATTCTTCCATCTTCATATCTTAATCTGTGAGAACTTCAGTGCAGACGATTCGACGTTACTGAGACTTTTAAGATTAAAAACATGGATTGTTGAAATCTCACATTGATAAAAAAAAAATTAAAAACGGATGTTGTCAATACATCTGTGAAATGATTTTTATAAGTCTACGACAAATATTAAAATGCTAAAAGTTTATAATTTTTGTTATACCTTTGCAAAAGGCTCAATTGGACAAATATGTAGGATAACGCATTCACATTTAATTGTTTTCATCAATCAAAATTAGCTCAAATCCAAAATAAATCCTATATAACCGACGGTGAGAAAAAGAGTTTTAAATTTATTATAATAATTCGGCAAAGCAAAGTTCTTGAATTGATGGATGTCACTGTTGTATGTTTTGATTCGTTTAACTGTAATCTGAAAAACGAATAAAATATTGCTATTGAATTGTATTTTTTATTTTATAAAATATGTTAATTTACACTTGGTAGACGATATCGCGATCTCCAATTGTTAAAAATTACAACATTTTCGATGCTAATCTTTCGGCGATGAAAAAAATGTGCGTATGCCCTGAGGTTGTTTTTGCACAAGGCAAAAATAACAATAAATTATTTGACAGCAATTACACAAGCATTTGTTTGGTTAGCAGCATCAGATTGCGTATTAGAAATATGACCAACAACTGTACATTAAATATTTAAAAAAAATAGCACAATAAGTAAATGTCTTGGCGTTGTGGACAATTTACCGCAAACACCAAAAAACATGGAAAAGCAATTGATATTAAATGAGAAATACGCAATAGAAACGCGTTGGTTACACACAAAACATGCGTGCAAAATGAGCGAGATGATGAATATGGCTGGACTGTAGAGAGGTAGAAAAAAAAAATGAAAAATGAATCATTGTTAACTGGTGTGCTCGTTGATGGTTTAACTTTAATTCACAAGCATTTTGCATCCATTTTACTCGAGGTCTCACCATAATGTTACATGTTAATATAGATAATGGGGGAAGACCGTACGAAAATTATGTCTAATAGAAGCCTATTTGCGGTAAATACAGGTCATCTCATAATGCATTAATGAAAATACACGGAGATGGCATGTATCAAATGAGAGACTACATCATAATGAAGGCGTAGAAACGACATAAAAAAAAATATGAACATTGTGTTAATACATAGATACTTTAAATCATGTACGCTGGTATGAGGTTTATCTGCATTATTAAAACGGATTCATAATGTTGTCATCTCTTGTACAATAACTTTTTCTTTAATCTCAAAGAGATGATATAATAAATCCGGGGAAATCACTTCTTTGCTGAAGACTAAGCCAACAATTGTAGATTTATGCTACTGAATCACACGCACTCTTGATTTGAATTAGGGCACACTCTTAACATTCGGCGAGAAAGCGTGGACAACAATGATTGATGATTCAAATAGAAAAAAGTGAAGAGTAAATGCGCGACTCAATTACATTTTATCTACTTGTAAATTATCTTCAGTTGGTACAATTGGTTGGAGTGGCAGATGCTAGGATTTTCAATATCACAATATATTTCCGAAATCTATTTTTCATTTCCAGTGAAATGTACAGTAACAGAATGATTGTGTAATTTGACGGAGATTTCGATAGCGTTTCTTGCGTTATTGTACAATATGGCGCCTCTGCTTCGATTTTCCATTGCACCTAATGGAAGTTGAGAAACTGATGTCACACCGGCAATCGTTGTACCTTATTATTAATTAATGTTGAAGCGTGTGATGAAGTGTTATGTTTGTTCTCTTCCAGATTGGGTTTCATTTCACGTTGGGGTGCACTCGCAGGAAGATATGCAGCTTTATGTCCGCCCGGTTGGCCTTGGACTCACCACAGAATGCCATTCCACAGCCCAACACATGGTTAGTACACTATAAAACAAATTTGTAAAGAAAACCTGACAGGACATGAATATTACCGCTGGTGCCGTTTTCGATCAGTGAATATAAAATGTGAAAAACGCTGGCAATAATACAAATAAGCAATTCGGTTTTGCTGTTTTCACGGAACTAATAAGAGATAACGAGATGATATCTTCAGAGAAATAGTAGTATTCAACCTGCGCCGCAACTTTCCTTAAGATAGTTATCACATATTTCTTATCAGTTCCGTCAAAAATTAGAAGCAAAAATCCGCTAGAAGCAATCTTTCGCGTATTAAACGTATTTCTCGTAATCGGCGGCGTGCAAAGGAAATTTGCCACCCGAAGCAAATTGCCGCCCGAAGCAAATTGCCGCCCCAAAATCAAGATGCCGCCCCAACATCAAAATTTGAAGAGCAAAAAAAGGTCATCACTTTTAAAACTCAATTCTATCTAGTGCAAACTCCAATTTTACCAATTTTGCCGCCCGAAACAATTGCTTCGCCAGCGTCGTACTTTGCACGCTACCGCTCGTAATAATATATTTGTCTTCAGCAAAGTTGTAAGGGACGAACAGGGTAGAATAACTGTCGGTTTTATTTTTAAGCGTAAATCACACATTTTCCAATAAAATCATTTTTTTATCTTCTTTTATTCGGTAGATGTGGTCTACATATCTTAATTTCAGTCCTAAAATTTCGTTTTCCAATGATTTTGGTTAGGTTGGAGCCCTAAAGGTTCTGAAAAAAATCATTCGTGCTATGCGCTGATGTCAGCAGCACTAACTAACGTCAGTTGCTGATATCAGCTACTGACGAGTATGCGTTGCGTTGTTTTAACGCATTTACAGTATAACAACGAGATATACTCCGAACACCCCAATGGCAAGATTGCTGAATCCTTTGTTTTTATACTGCAAATGCGTTAAAACAACGCAACGCATACTCGTCAGTAGCTGATATCAGCAACTGACGTTAATTAGTGTTGCTGACAACAGTTCATAACACGCTCTGACCAAACCATTGTAAACCAAGTTATCACACGTTAATAAACATTTAATTTTTTTTTTGTCAATATCGTATAAGGCAGATATCAAGATATTATCGTGTGATATTTGCTTGCGTGCATCTCACGCGTTTTGGACACATTGCCCCACAGTATTATAAGCCACCCTGTATATATGGGAGATTTTTTATCTACTCACATATCAGCGGATATTTATTTATTTTAATTTTATTTTTGATGCTATTTGTTTTTGCTTTTTACACAAGAGAACATTTGTCCCTTAAAAAACTGAAACTTTCTTTGAATAATCTTTTAGACTAGTTTACAATTTGTTTGTGTGCATGTCAATACTCTCTTTAAACATAATATTCATAATTTTAGTGTCATCAGGAAGTTCAATAGTTGAACAACATTGGGAAATTGTGCGTGTTGTCTCTTGAAAAGTTGTAAATTTTTGTCAAAACTTTGCAGAATTTCCAACTCTCTATCATTCGTTTGAAATGATAAAACAAACATTTTTGTTTGCTGTTTGTTCGAATATATGGCTTGTTACATTATATGGTTGTGATTAAGAGAAGGGTACGTTTCACTTTATTGGAAGAAGATTTCTTCAACACAATACCTAGCCTCAAAAACTTCTCTTTCGTCCGATTTAAAATCGTTCATTTCTGAAGCGTTAAATAGACTTAACCCTCTAGTGCATACAACCTCCTTCAGACGGGCAACATGTAATCGTTTGTATAAAGTAAACCGTATGTCGGATTGCAATGTTTATAGCTACATTATTATCCGGGAGAGTACCAGTGTTTGCGATATCGCTCTCAGCATCTCATAGGATAACTGAACGAGATAATTCAGCTGGCTGAGATGACGCAGCGACGCATCACCCAAGTCTATCGCCCGAGTCTTTGTGATACACACACACACACACACACACACAATTCGATGCCGCGCGTCACTAAATGGGACTGAGTGTATAAGGATACCGCTGGGCGCATTGTGTGTATGTGTATCGCACAGACTCAGGTGATGCGTCGCTGCGTCATCTCAGCCAGCTGAATTATCTCGTTCAGTTATCCTATGAGATACTGAGAGCGATGTCGCAATCACTGGAGAGTATCCTCTTTAATTTTGACATTGACGTTTGTAGTCTACATCAAGCCGTTGTGGAACTAGAATGACTTATGTTCAAACTAACAGCGATTTTGGGAAATTGTTATGAAGAACCGTATCTCGTTTTGTATGAGAGCTTGGTCCATTTTGTACAGAGTTCCAACACATATCATCTTAAAGGGTATTGTGTGCAGATAAATTATATATTGATACCCAACCCCTAAATCGTGGGGAAAGGGATTAAAATTGGGTATAAGTTAGTAGCCCCAAAATTAAGGTATCACTTCGGAGGGTCATAGCTCCTTAACTATAGAGAATAGGGCAACACTCCTGGGGTCAAAATTATAGTACTCGTGAATACCTTTCTAACAGTGACATCCCCATTTGTTCATAGTGAACGAAAAATACCGTTACGTGAAAAAATGTCATTTTTTGGGTTAAAACAAATCATTATCCTCTTTTTCTGGGTAAAACTTTTTTGGTTTACAAAGGTCGTAGAAACAATGTGCAAAATTTCAATAATATTTTGTTTCCGAAATATGTCAACAGCTCTACCAAAAATGAGCAATGGGTGCAGATATAGACGAACATCTATCAAAAAGCACTATATCTATCTAATTTATAGAACATATTCTTATGAACATATCGACCATTCCACATGAAATCGACCAAGAATTGGATCGACCATCTCGGAATTGGCTGAAAATTGGTTTGAAGTCTTGTTTTCGATAGAAAATGAGAAAACCAAAATTTTAAGTGGCCTACATTTTCGAGTTCATATATTATCTAGATAAGATAATTACAAAACTTTTTTCATTGCAGTGAACGTTCAGAAATCTCAAGTAGTTTGTTTTCGGAAATTGGTTCATCTTTTCTGGACGATTGAGATTTCTGAATGTCATTTTGTACGAAATTGGTAATTTCGTTTTTCAAAAACTGCTTTAGTTTTCTGCACGATTAAGATTTGTGGAATTTAAGATTTCCGAACGTTCACTGTAGTTGTTAATTTGTTATGCGAATCGATTGTTGCGAGATGAGCGAGGGAAAAATGAAAATAAATACTCGAATATTTAAAATTCTTTATTTAACTCAGAAGCAATAACTAGATCCATCAAACATGGAAGTTGAATCTGTTCTCCAATGATTTTCAGGGAATTTAACAAGTTCTGTAGTTTGTAAAATTGAACAGTAGACTGCATTTTAGTGGTCATATAATCAAAATCTCAGCTGGAATGAGACAGAGAGTAGTGCGAAATGCTTTTAAAACTCAATAGCGATTGTTTTAGCATGGCTTCAGTGTTCTATGTGTTTAAAGCATATTGTTTTAAAAAAAACACGAAAGCCAAATATTTGAACTTACCTTAAAATCATACAAATTGATATGTTTAACACACGTAAGCACAATTAGCGGTCGGTATGTTTGCATTGGGCACATGCTCCAGTCGCAAAAGAGACTTTACAGACAAAGATCCTGTTTCATTAAAGACTTTACAATTAGCCGCTATTCTTTTCTATCTGTGTAGATTCTAACCCCTAAGGTTTTCATGTCACGCAATCAGCAATTTACGTTAAGGAGCTTATCATATGGCTTCGCATTTAATTTAAAATATTGATGCATTTTGTATGAATCGTGTTAAACAGTGAAAAGTATAGACTGGAAATCGATGAAACATTATGGCAAAGGGGGATCAGAAAAGACCAACCATCGCCATCATATGGCTTCATTGCTGTTGTTACTTAATTTTTTTCCCTGCTTTTCACTTCAAACTTCACCGCTAACGTTTCCATTTCAGTCTATTCCTCTGAATTGTGTATTTACTTGCCACAAACATTTATATCCTTCTATTGAAGTGCAACGTATAATACAAATGAATAACATAATGTTTGCTGATGCACGTAGTAAGCAACACTTCATAGTTGTTCATTTGCTGTCGCAAAATATCAATGTTTTCATTTCCTCTAAAAAGATATTTATACATTACAAATAGGAAAAACAAATATTGTCCTGAAAACATAGGTCCTAATATGAATATGTTGTATTGTAATTGCAGATAGTTCATCAACAAATACGACTGATAATGCATCGCCGTCGGCCAGTCCACCTACGATAGTAAAACCATCGCCGGTACATCATTCGTCGTACTTGAACAACACAAACGATGAATCGGATGATGATGAAAATGAAATAATTGACGACGATATGTCCGATAATGTGGAAAGACCTTCTGACAGCAATTCACCCCATCCGAACGGGTCATCGCAAAACAAACGCAAAAAGAAAACTAGAACAGTATTTTCTCGAGCACAAGTCTTTCAATTGGAGTCAACGTTCGATCTAAAACGGTATGTATCGTTTCACTTCAAGAAATATTAGTAATGAACGAGCATTCGGAAATGTGGCTAGTAGTATGCACATGTGCGCACCTTCGGCCGTTAAGGTCAAGATATTCGATTCCAAAGACGCTGTCTAAAGTTCACACCTAATCCAATATTAGTTTCCATCCGTCACCCTGCACCATCGATGCCAACTTGATTCATAATCCCCAGTCAAAATTCGTATTGAACATAGTATAGGGGTTCGAGGTGTTTTCAATCTTCATGATTTGAAATCGCGAATGATTGCAATAGATTTGCGACTCAGCATTTTCAACAGTCGCCCATGAGAATAAGTCTAGTTGTTTGATGAAATTAAGTGCGGATTAATTAGTATCATCTTCATCTTCCAAACAATTTGGCTCACGATTTCATTTTTGATCCACAAATGAATGAATTGAAATTAATGGAATTCACTGTCGCGAATATTCCTTCCGAAGATTGCCATTTGAAAGTACGAATTGGTTGAATATTAATGAAAGAACTTGAGATAAATGTGCTTATTTAAATTTTGGCTTGGTATTCAAAGAAGTAATCGGTGTAAAGTTAATTTTCAATAAGTTTGATGCAAGAAAAACATTATCCTTATGCGAAAATGTATATCGTTTGGCCAGCTTGGGGGAAATGCTCTTGCTATGAAAGCTATCAATTTATCACTTAACATTTCTTTTACTGTAAATCAATAAATTGCTTCTAAATTTGGTTCACATGTAGATATCTGAGTTCATCTGAACGAGCTGGCTTAGCAGCATCACTACGCTTGACCGAGACACAAGTGAAAATATGGTTTCAAAATCGACGAAATAAATGGAAGCGCCAAATAGCTGCCGAATTGGAGGCAGCCAATATGGCAAATATGGCGCATGCGGCTCAACGATTAGTGCGTGTACCGGTATTATACCACGAGGGAAGCGCGGGTAGTTTTGTTCCACCACCACCTCCACTTTCTAGTTCAGCATCATTTTACTACCCTCGAAACGGAAGTCCACCGAGACCTCCGATGTCATCATTGGTGTAACTAAGTGAACCGAGTGCTAAATAAATGGACGACTTTAATTTTTTTTAAAGACTCGCAACCGAAACAACGTGCAACAATCTGACGCATACGAGCACCTTTTAACTCTTGTTTTCACCACAAACTCTTCAGTTTTCGGAAATAGTATGTTACATGCAAAATCATACTAACGTATGAAAATGCATAAATTGAAACTGCTCACTGTGCAAAGTCTTTGGTTGCAAAGTGATTTGGGATGGTTTTCAAATCAATTTGGTTTAAAATAACAATTCAATTTATTTTGTTTTGTTTTGTGTAAAGTATTGCATTGACTCCAATGCACAAAACTCAATTTCGTATGCAAACTTTGCCAGACAACCATCATCCTCCCAAATGACTATTGACGCAATAGATGCCAATTTTTATTTATGTGAAATTACTTACATCATGTGTGAAACAACAAGAATCTCATCTCATTTTGTATTCATAGGGTATTTTTATTGAAGGTAAGTTAATGCTCAAAGTCAAAATATTTGTATAGCTTGTGCTTGGTTTTTTAATGTTCGAATAACCTTATTTTGAGAGCACTTTTGCTGGCGACAAAGTGAAAGGAAGTAGCGTCGTCAACAGAATTAACAAATTAATAACTTAACATTCAACAGATTTAAGACGATTCTCTGTCACTGTTCTGTTGGATTTTGTCAACTCATTTACAATCCGCAAGTGAGAGCGCTCTCTTCGTCACTTATTTGAAATCTTAAAAATGATTAAGAAAAAACCAGTACGGATAATCTTTTTGATACATAAGTAGCAATGTCTCCCTTCGTTTGTTCATAATATCACGTTTGAAATCTAATATGCCTGATGAAAATTGGCGAGATTCATCGTATTTTGTTCGATTTTTTGCTGTTTTTCTTTGCTCATCGAGTTTTTCGTTCTTACCATTTCAATTCCGAGTTCATCTCATATAGGCATAAAGTGTATAATGTAATATTAGCGATATTTCCCAAAAATATTTAAATGCTGTAGCAGATTATTCGCAGTTGTTAAAGCTAATAACTACCTCAAATAGGTTCAATTTTGGCTACTTTCATATGAAAAAATTAGCTTGAATCCAAGAGGTGTAAATAGTACTTATCCTCATTCAATTTAACATTTCATTCAGTATTTTTTTTCTATTCATTTACTTCTTTTTTGCTATGACGGAAGTGACTATTTTATTCTATTTTGAGAATTTTAGGCAGGTTTCAACATAGTCTATTTTGATTCGATCGACCGACCGACATTAAAATTGTAATTTTAAAGATACACATTTGGAAGTGACATATTTACAAGCAAAAAGACATTATGTGGCCAAAAATATTCATTATATATAATATTTTGTTATTATACCGGTCGTTGTCCTTGATTTTCTCGAATGTAAAAAATACCTGTTTTTTTTCGAAATTAGTTTTGTATGAAATTAGTATGAAAGTTTCAAATGAAGAGTGCAATGAAAGGAATTTTCGAAAACCGACATGTTGTGGAAAGTTATGGAATCTTTTTTTAAATACACTTTGGCGTGTATTTTACTAATGGCTGTTCCAAGTGTTGTGACTTTGATTTTCAAAACAGCAAATTTCCAATAACTACAAAATGGATGTGATAGCTCAGTGAATAATATGTTTATATCTTACTTAGTTAGATTTCACTGGTCAGTTCACAGTTCTTCTATTAAAGCCATAACTTTGACTTGTGATCTGAAATACGACAGGTGAAAATAAATTTGTCCCAATAATTTATTGTGCCAATTTATTACGATTCTGCCTAAACACATTCAATTAGTAGTTTTAAGAAATTCGCAGTTTCAAAAATGATAGCCACGCAAAGAATGTGGAATAGACATAAATGTTGATATGATTTGAACATTTAAGTAAAATATATCATATGTATATTACTGAATGTTCTGCGAATACATCATCTTACACTGTAAAAGTGTCCAATGTCCATAATTGCCGTATTCCCACTTGATTATTCCTAAAAACATTAGATTGCTCAATGCAAAATGGTTTCATTATTTTTTCATATTACATACATTTAAATCCAATCAATACGGTGTTCTAACGAGCAACAAAAATCTCATTTTCATTATATGGTTGAATAAAATTCGTTTACTACACATTTCAATTGTCAAGCAAATATGTCAGGTCACAATATACCCGATCATCCTGAGGTTTAGTTTGTATATTAATGTCAAAATCAATATCTAGGGGCTTTTATCTCTATTTGCCAATACAAATTTATCACAAAGGCAAATACAATAGACGTCAACAGCGAGTACAACTACCATTTGGTTGGACGTTTTGCTATTAAGTTAGTTTAAGTAGCTTAAATATAAGTTAAGTAACAGTAAAGTACTGAGCTTCATGTCAAGTCTACTGTTAAGTCTAAACCTTAATGATTTCTACAAAAATCAATAGATGGCGTTAGGGTCTAGCCTTGTGAAATTTATATGCGAAATGGTGAAAATATACGTCGTATACGCGGGTTATATGTGAAATATGCACAAAATATACGGCAATTATACGTAGTTATACGTATTTATATGAAACATTCGTTTGGAGTTAGAAGCCCCTAGATCAATATATAGTAAAATTCATATATAAACCTCAGTTTCGAATGGTATTGGAGTGATAATATCACATGATTTTAAACATTTTAAACCAGAACCGTCTTTTGACTCCCGGTGCCCTGAGGTAATATTTGTAACCTTAATTTTTTTTTTCAACCTTTTGAACATTGCACCAATCAAATTAAATGCAATATTAAGTGAAAAAAGCGATTGGTAGTCTCTTCAATTTTCATTACATCATTTTTAGTTTCAACCGATTTAATTCTTTTCTGTTCAACGAGAATTTCTTAAATACCTCTTAAATACTGGGTCTTGAGTCATTACCAGGCCCAGATGGCACTGGTTTGAGCATTGTGAAACATCACTGATATTTGGTGAATTTTATTTGGGTGTCGGACAAATGTTGAGTTACAGATAGCATATGAGTAATTTGCAAAAGTATACGGCTAGAGTGAACAAAATTTGTTAATACTTACTGCTGTAATACAATGAACCCTGAGGGTAAACACCAGGACGAATCAGCTAAACCTATTCAAATTATGATCTTTTCAAATCTGTCAAAATGACAATTATCATTATAATTTTAAAAAATTGGGATATCGAGTCATTATGTTGAATTGTAACATTACGAAAATCTTGTATTCAGTGTCCAACCCTTAAAAACATGAGTATTATTTAGTAGTTATCGATCTTGATACTTACATAATGGTCCTGTCAATATGAACTGCTGAGAATATCCGTTGGACGTATTTCGATGCTTAGTTGAATGTGGAACTTGGAAAAAGCTGTACGGAAAAGCGGGGTAAGTTGTTGTTGTATTCACGGCTTAAAAAACCCCCAAGACAATCATTTTTATGCATCGCTTTTGCGTACAACTTTCTCAAGTTTGACATTTAAAAACGCATCCAAACACGTTCAACAAATATTCTCAGCACTTCATATGTAGTAAGAATTTTACTTCTTTCAATTTATTTCTATATCAATGGACCATCGGTATATTGAGCACACATTTTTTTTAAAGTCAATCCAGCAGAACTAAATGAAAGAAGATTTATCAGTGTCCATATTATACATATTTCACATTTCGGGGTTATAAACATTCATTGCAGCTGATTTGATGAAATTGTACCTTGAACATTTCTCGTCAAGTAAATTCTCTCCAAAGCATAACTATTTTTACCGCAACTTGCTACACTTCCCAATTTCAACATTTCGTTTATTTCTGAAAAAATAAATAAATACTAGAGTATAAATTATGCATATTTGTTGTAAGATTGACACGAATTCGTTCTATTTATAAAGTTAATGTGACAAATATTATAAGAAGGCCAAAAGTCAAGAGGAAAACCAATGGAAAATAATCAAGAAGTCAGTCAAATAACAAATAACTAAGAACAAATCCGATATTTAATCATACCCGTACGAAATCACTCAAACACAATGGTGATTATTTACAATGTAATACAATGAAATAGTTTTTAAATGCCAATAGTTTTATGAAGTGGTGCAAGAATTTATCAAACTTCTGTAAATAAAAAAATCAATGTTCACATTTGCAAAATTATAACAGATCGAAATAAAATCTCAGAACATAAACTAAACTATGAAAGTCTTTAATTTCAAATCATATATGTTTTCAGTGCAATAAATGTGACATACATCATTTGGTTTCACAATCGGTAGGTTTTCTTCTTACCACGTTCGCAAACAAGCAAACGGCTAATAAACGTTCAATAAAAAAAGCATTTTCACTTAAGAAAATGGGTTGAAAAAATTACAATTACTACTACTGTATGCCATCCAATTACTGAACAAAGCGGCCGTTGCTAAATAGAGTACATAAATAGGAAGTAAATACGTGGGAACTAATACTTTATACGACTAACGACGTTTGGAGCCCAAAATGTTTCGTTATATACAGAGACATGCGAAAAATAGCTTGTTGCAACTCAACAAACACAACATATAAAAATAAAATAGCGGTCAACAAACTACTGTCTACAACAATAAAAATATTTCATCGTTGAATTTAGATGTTGTTTACTTGTAATTTGACCATGAAACTGGTCAAATCTTCCGTTAAACGGTAGATCGCCCATTTGGTCATAAAAACAGGTGGTATAAAATATGGTCGTAAACACAAATAGTTATTTTATCCTTTTGTATTATGGCACTGCAGTAAATGACTTTTATCATATGCTCTTGAGGTGTTAAAAAATATCCGAGGAGCGTATATAATGTAGCTTTTAATATGTATTTATGTTACTAATTACATAGCTATTTTACCGTTTCTGCAATACCACTTTTATTCTCATCGATACAAATATTTCTAAGATATTACTCAATTCTTTATCGGAATACTATACCAAGTCAGCAAAAATGGGACGAACGAATTTATATTGTGTCAAATCTATTTTATACAGTAATTTCTGTGTTGCGTAAATCAAGAGAAAACGAAGAACGATTCACTTGTTTCATTGCAATAATTGCATATCAGACAAAAAAACATTACGAACGGAACTACATTCAGTCCAAATACGAATAAAGCTGCCTTTTCGACGTTGTCAATTCCAGCAAATATATGGATAGATCAATATCAGGCAAAGAGCATGGATCCAATCTATGGTTTATCATTCCCATTTCTCTTCACATAAAAGGCAGCCTATAGTACCTGTATCGAAAATTGTTTTGCGTGCGCATGTTTGCAATTTATGGCGGAGTAGGATTTAGAGGCTCGAAGGTAGTTTAGTGAATTTTTTTGGTTATTTGTGTATTTTTCCACATATTGGTCTGATATGACTGTGCTGTATCTGAATTGAATGGCTGTAACCGACGCATATAGCACCGTCGGAATTACCGCCCGTTTTTTTCATTCCACTTATATTTCTAGATGACAATTTTCGAGATACATCACCGAAAACGGAACCAACGTCACAAACGGCGGAGGGAAACATATGTCTGAATACGAAAAAATAGTACCATCCCAATCGATTAATGCCAAAGAGATGGATTGCACAAATCCATTGCCGATACGGTGCACTGCATTTTAACAATACAATTCAAAAAAAAAAAAAATGATGCACACACAAACAGTGTTTGTTTTTTGTCAATAGTTAAGTAAAAGGTTCATCTGGAAAAATTGCATCCAATGAACACAAAAATTATGATTTTTTGGCTACATTGATGTGATTGGATTCATGGTTGTTATGTAAACCGACTCATCTTCCACCCATTTTACCCTTGTCTGCACATCACCAGATGCAATCGGATATTCATTATTTCACATGTTTCGCGCTGATTGAGGTGAATAGTTTCTAATTTGAACAACGAATGCGCTATATTACACACGAACATATGCTTATAAGCATACAAATTAGATATTCTTGTGATATATTCCAATGGATTCTTTATTAATTTATCTTTTCTATATTTTAATATAAACGTAAACTTTGTAATCGGAGTGTAATATGAGTCACTAGTTCTGTGATTTATTGGCATTTGTTTTGACAACAAAGCGAGACCACGCAATAAATCGGTGTTTATATCCATTAAAAAGAAGCCCAAACAATAGCTTTAAATAGGTGCAGTACTTACGATGATGACAGTGACAGTGACAGCGTTGCTGCACGTTACAATAATTCACAGTGGTGTCTTTCATTTTTACTTCTACGTTGTTATGGCCAATAAAACACTAATTAATTTCTTTCTTCGTGCACTTCGTCAGCCACAACGTAATCCAATACGTTTTTTATTTAATGCCTTGTATCTATCATTGTTTTGTTTGTGCGTCGATGAAATTTCACCGTCCATAATGGCTTGATGTTCGTTTCAAATTTCAATCAATCGTGTCCCGTTTTGCCGCTTGTCAAACCAACTTTTCACTCGTTCATTCGATTGTTCGTTTATTTGATTTGTGACGAGGTCCACGACATTAACGTCATTCACTGGAGCAATTCATGTCTGTAAATACAAAAACCAGACAATACAGACAATACATTATTAACATGAATGAATGGGACAGATTGAGCTGTTAGTTACAAGGGCCATTCAGTGTATATGGTTTTTGCCACATGCAGTGTAACAATGCTAATCGCTGCAAATAGACTTTTTCTTCCAATAATTATTTTAATTATGTGCGATGGATTCGCGATGAATAGATTAGACCATTTTAATCTCATCTAGTCGAAAATACCATGGTCAACAAAGGGGTGTACGGGATAAAAATTTTTGTGGAAATGAGACGCGTAATGTAGATGAAATGATGGATGTGGGGAAAATAAAGAATCTCTAATGTCACCGGCCCCATTCATGATGGACAACACTGAAAGCAGAGATGTTTAATCATCAAAGGCAAAAAAAAACATTTTATTTAAATCAAAATTCTTCAAAGGCTCACTCAAGTGGTTTATGGAATCAAAGCAAAAGTGCATTTAAATGTTGATGAAATATCGGACCTGAATAATAGGAATCAAAATCAAAAATCGATACAAAAGAAGAGCGAAAAAAATATGATGTACACCATGGCGCACTGTTTTATTATCTACACAAAAGTTTCTCTTTATCTTGTTGAAAGTATATCAGTTGGGTGTACTTTGTGTAATTATTGGAGAGGAGGAAAAAACATTAACTGGTAGCTGTAAATATTACTTAACCAACCCAAATAGAAATTTAAAAGCATTTAGTATTTAGCCTTATGTGTCGATAATTTTCACCCACCGCACACAGATATTTCATTACCATTTTCATTCCCACTTGGAAGTTCGCATTCGCCACAACTCGTTGTGTTTGTCGGTCCTGCAACAGTTGTTGCTGTGTTTTATTCCTTCTAATGCGGTTGTTAAAGAGGAATTTGTTGTTATACAACAACAACAAAAGAGAGAAGAGTCAGTGCGAATAAGCCATAAGAGCAGCCGAGGCAAGTGACTGAAATCCCGCACTTCACATTGACTAGTCGCTGGTGTGTGTGTGTATATATTTCTATCTAAATAAAATAAAATTCTTTTATCCCTATTAACTATTATATTACAAATAATGTAAAAATGAACGAGCGTTCTCGCGTACACACATATGCATTCATATATCAACTCACACTGCGCCGTTGCTCGCCTGCTCGCCTGCCCGCTCACCATGTACATTGTGCATACTGCACATTCAATCCGGTGCGTGATTGTGTGTATTATAATGTATAAAAGATGCCACTCTATTAAAAGTATGCTCTGGGATTGGCGAACCCTCTAAAGCGAGTAATTGGTCTATAATCTTTTTGACAGATTGAATTTGCTTTTCTGATTTTATTTGCTTACTTTTCTAATATACATCGCCCTTTCCTTTAACGAAACGAGTAAAACGATTGTATCGTTAGTAGCAAGAGCCTAAGACTGTAGCCACTACTCAACGACGTCACAGTCATAGGACGAACAATATGGCGCAAAGCAAAGCAAGCCGTACGTTTCATGATGAGAATATTACTCTTTTTTCGGTCGTGTTTCTTTGTTCGAGGGGGTTGTTGTGTGGAAGTATGAATGATTTTTCGAGCTATTAAATAGATGAGAGAGTAAACATTTTTGGCGTATTGAGTTGAAGAACAACTTTGCTTTTATGTATTTAACGTAATTCTTCGTTAGTTTTTCTTTTTGCTATCTCTTTTTTTATACGCTTATCCGTTGAGGTAATTTTTGTTAGGCATTCTTTTGAATACCTATTTGCGTCCAATAAATACAATAGACAATAGTAGCTGGTTGGGTGGCACTGAGTAGGCACATCATTTATTGTTGTTACTTTATATCATTTTATTTGATAGCAGTTTTGTGAAATGAACATACGTGATGTACAAAATCATCCAACCATTTTTTGACTTGTTCACATATCAAGTCAGGATGCCGGAATAAAACAATGGTGTAAAAATTTCAGTCAGAAAAATAAAAGTTAAAAGTGCACAAATCAAATTGACTAAGAAAATGATATTGCCTAACCATTCAAATGGATTTCAGGTCATCAGCGTGCAAAAAAAATTGTAATTGGTCTGAAAGCGTAGAAAAAATAACATACACACAAAACATAAAATATTACTTTGATACTGAAGTAAACCGCAAAGTAACAAATATAACGATGATCCAAATGAGAAGATTAAACAATATAATGCCAATGTTATGTAGGTGGTTTTCGCATGTCCTGTGTACAAGTTAAACAGCCAGAAGTTGCAAACAACATAGAAACGTGCCGACATTTACGTACTTGTACACTTCTAATAACCATTTACCCTCGTTTACTGCTTGATAGCTTCACTTACGATACGATGATGCGAATGGAGGTGAAATGCGGATTTTCGGAACCAAAATAAAAGAGAATGAGAGAAAGAGAGAAAGAGAGAAAGAGAGCGAGATGATGGGAGATAAAGAGAAAAATTGAGGGCCAAAACACCGAGACGAACATGGAAGAGGGAGAAAAAGAGAGAATCAGAGCACTTACATCGCGGTGAAAATATCATAAGCATCTAAGCAAAGCGAGCAAACCATTAAGACTCAGTGATGATATTGATGATATTAGAGATTTAGTGGGTGATGGAGTGTAAAATTAAAATATTTCGGTGAATTCCCAGTTG